CTGTTGCTGTCATTGTACTACCACCGGGGTGGGGGAGTGGTGCTCATCTGCTCATCGGCATGGCCTGGCCTGGCCAATACACAATGAATGACCAATAAATAACTCTGGCATAAAACGCTCACACATGGCCCGTCGTCAAGTGAAACAATCCATTATGGAACCGTTGGCCCCAACAAAGGCGAGATGCTGTGACTCTTTTCCCCTAGCTGCCCGGCTGCCCGCTCCCGTCTGACGGTAATGAATGAATGAGTGAATGAAAATTTGTTGCGTAATGGGGCAAGCCGATAAGAAAGTGAAAACTAAATGAGACAGAAGCACACAAATATATTGTAAAAAGCATAAACGTATCCCCTCGCCACGGTCGGACGGACGGGCGGAGGAGCACAAAGCAATGCTCGTCTCATTTCCTGCCCTGTCTCCAGCCCCCAGCCACCAGCCAACAGCCATAACCACAGCCCCTGCCCCTGCCCCTGTCCCAGTCCCAGTCGTTGAGTGAAATTACGATTTCAAAAGCCTAGTCGTCCGAGGGCCTGGCCAGCCATTAGGTTGTGGCCATTATGGCCCTGTTCTCGGGTCCCGTCTGGGCCCCATAGACTGGACAGGAACCCGCAAACATCCTGTTGATGTCAGCAAATTTTATTTATTTGTGGTTCGTGTTGTATTACAACATTTTAGAGCAATTAAAATTGTACAATGGCCGAATGCTCGGGTCCGATCCGATCCGGTCCGCTTTTGGCCGTTTTGCATTGCCCAAACACGAACCCAAACACAGCCGCAGTCCTCGGGTCTATTTGGCCGCATTTTTTAGATCATTTAACGCTAAAGTGCCTAATGATATATTGACTTTGCCGGCCAAAGCCTCTGCCGCTCCACCGCTTCTCCGCTTCACCGCTGAATGTTATGTTTCAAACTTTTACGTTACGTTCCCGCCTAATGGCCCAAAGTTTTTGGCGGTGCGGAGATAGCAGGGAGAGAGAGCAGGGAATGGAATGGACTCTATGTTCTCCTCTCCTCGTAATTGCCCGTTGCAAAGGTGGAGAACTCATTAGATTAAGTGATAGCATTCCGCTTTATGGCCATATCTTGCTGCCGAACATCATTGGAAATTAGTTGGCCCCAAAAGATGCTCGAAGGAGGAGCAGGAGGAGTGGGAGTAGGAGGCTGCGTTTTAAAATAATTGGAGAGGACTCTGGACTGGATCCGGGCCATATCTTGTCGAATGGGATAAGGGCTGTCAATGCAAAGCTGCCCCGGTCCATTGTTATGCAGTTGGCCTACATAGGACTCCCCTTCTGCTGCCCTGCTGCTGCCCTGCCGCTTCCCTTCTCCAATCCCTTCAGCTTCTTTGTAGGGGGCTGTTGGCATTGTTGCTGCTGTTGCAGCTTCGCTAACAAGCTTACTGCCAGATGGCTTACGGGCTCATTCCCCAAATGTTAGCCAGAGAGAGAAGAGTCACAGAACAGCCAGAGCGAGAGAGAATGGAAAGGGCGTTTCATTTCATTAAAGTTTCAAGGCGTACAGCGCGGCGTATGAGTGATACTAAAATGAAGAAGAAACAGCAGCAATCCCACGGATGCTTGGGAAATGGGACACATTTCTGTGGCACTCGACACTCGACGACCGACTCGTCGACCGACTCGACTCCTTCGCCGGGCCACATATGGACTTTTCTGCTGCCACAGCAGTAGTACAATGTGCAAAAGTTGTAAAATTTGTTAAGGACACACACACACATACATACATACATATGTACTCGAGAAGGACCTGTCGAAATGTCTTGGGGTGTGGCAGCGGCGACAAGTACGCTGGTCGAGTGGCTCTGAGGCAGCCACTCGCAGTTATTCGAGTGCAATGGGCTGTAGGAGCGAGTCCTTGCCAAGATTCGGGCATTCTGCTCTGGCCTGGCCTGGCTTGGCCTGGCCCGCAAGTTGTGGCGCACAACATGCTTAATTAGTTTCTGAATCCAGGCGGGAGGGAGCCCCGCCCCGGCCAGGCCAACCCAGCCCGTGCGTGGAAGGGGAAGGGGAGTAAGGGGAAAATAATTTGTGGCTTCCAGTTTCGGTTGGGGCAAATGGCGATGGGTTTTTGGCCAGAGAGGAGAGGGTTTTTAATTAAAACTGCCTGCTAGTTCCCTGCCCTTGCCCCTTGCCCCATGCTCCATGCCCTTTTCCGTATTAATGCAAATGAGCGCCAAGTAGCTGCCGCGTGGAAGATCATGCGGTGAATCCTGTGTGCCGTGTGTGAAGTCAACCAAAAAGCCTCCTCCTCTGCCACTCAGTCCGTGTGTCCATCAGCGGCGGCGGTGGCGGAAGCGGATGCCATAAAGTGCTGCCACCGCACCACCGGCAGACAGCAGACCCAAAAAATAAAATGGACGCTCATGTGGATCTGCAGAAGGACGAATGCCGAGTGCTGGACGGCTGGATGGATGTGTGGCACACACACACACACACACACACAGGCACACACACACTTTAATGACAACGACGTGGCCGACAATTCAGTTATGGGTCTCATGGCGCAGCCTCCCGCCACTCGCCCCATCCATATACTAAAACGGAGGCACAAAGGAGCAGGCAGGGGCAGGCAGCAGGCAGGGATGTCAGGCAAACCAATCAACTGATTTAGTGCACGGCATCCACATCTCGATGGGCATCTCTTTCGTCCTCGTCCTCGTACTCGTCGCTGTCCTCGCCCTGCTTTGCATTTGGCTGTTTGGTTGTGGGGGGGCCTACGTGTATCAGCAAATGCAATTCGTTTGCTGATTTGTCATTGTTTGCTGTCCCCCCATGTCCCCCCAGCAGCAGCCCCTATCGGTGTATCGGCGGATGTGGGAGGGAGGAGAGTACATTATGCGATGGTCGAGTCTCAACTTGAGCTGATTTACAAATGAAATCATACGCCATGGCGGGCATTTCGGTAATGAAAATTCAGCCATAAGGGAAATCATTTTTCCGGCTTTTGTTCTATTTTAGTTAGCTCTGTGTCTGTGCCTGTGCCTGTGCCGCTCCCCCTGTGCCCCCAGCATCCTTCCTGGCTTTGGACAGGACGAGCAGACACCGCCGCACACTTAATGCGATTTTTGCTGCTTGCTGCTTGCTGGTTGGTTGGTTGGTTCCCGCTCTGGCTGCTGCCATTCAGCGAGGATGGTGGGCTTTTAGTTTTGATGTGGCTCTCTGTGTGTGAGATACGAAAAGGGAGTCGAGAGTCGGGAGTCTATGGCTGGGGGGGCGCCTCCGTTGGGGGACTCGAGTACGCTCTATAAATAAATTTCGTTTTAATAAACTTGTCATAATGCCGCAGCGCAAAAAAAAGTTTTAATAACGCTCCACAAAACCTTGACGTTATTAAAATTTTACATGTCATGCCAAAAAGGATTAAATTCACGGGACGCACAAGGCACAAGGCAGTCACCAGTGGAGGAGGAGGAGGCATGCCCATGCCACACACGCACACAGTTTTTGCTGTGGCTGTTGCTGTTGCTGCTGTTGCTGCTGTCTTCTTTTGTTCTGCTCTGCTGTGTCTCTCCCCTGCAGGATGTATTAAGTTATGCATTAAAATGGCACTAATGACGTTTATACAGCTCTGTCAGCCACGGAAATGTAACTTTTCACCGCAGAAGCCACCTGTAGCTGTGCTCCGCTCTGCTGTACCTTTTTGTCTCAAGTTACTTAATTGCAGTGACAACACAACAGTGACAGAAAAGCCTTACCTCTGCTCCCTCTCCCCCTCTCACAATCTACCTCTGGTAATAAAAATCGTTAGAAAAATGCTTTGCTTGCAATTTAAAATACACGCACAGATCCTTGTCTGTCTGTCTGTCTGTGGGTTCCGTGGGTTCCGTGGGGGAGTTTCTCGCCTGCCCCGCTGCCCTTAGCATTTTCTCATTTTGTACAAATTAAGCGGATTCCGCTTAAAGCATTCCATTCCCGAATAATTTAATTAAAAACACATTTCTGGCTTTGTTCTCGTCTCGTTTTGCACCTTAATTCTCCAGCAGCCCATCCCCCTCCTGTGTGGCGTATACGGATACGTGCATACTTGCGGCCAAGTCATAAAACACGCTCACTGCGAGCGGCGGGGCTATGCCACAATTCAATTAACAATGCAACAGTACAGCACCTCCGATTCGTAGCTATCTATCCACCAGCTGAAAACCATATCCTATGACAATGGGTCTCTGTAGCTGTAGCTGTATCTGTATCTGGCTGTGTCTGTATCTGTGTCTGTGTCTGCATGCCCCATTCCATGGCACATAGACAGGCGACACGAGTTTTACATTAAAACCCAAAGTTTTATTGCCAAACAATGAGCGAAGGAAAAGTTTGTTCTATTTGTATAGGAAAGAGCCTTCGCTTCGTATCGTAAGTTTCTGGGGCTCACCCCCGCCCATCGCCCCAATCCCAATCTCCGCTAAGTGGTGGGTGTGGCACGTGGGGGGGCCCCTGTCGCCTTATCAGTTGTAGTTATACAACATATTAGCTGCTTAATTTTACGGACGTGTGTGTGTATGGGTGTGTGTATGTGTGTGTGTGTGTGTGTGTACGGGTCCAAGGATGGGTGTTGAAATGGAAAACTTTTGTTTATTAATTTGTAAGGACCGATGTTAAAGTTTTACCCGAGATTTCGGTCTTTTCCCTGTCGTCGTGCCATTAATCGTAGAATATTGCATTCTCTAAGGGAGCGAAGGGAGCGAAGGAAGCGAAGGGAGCGAAGGAAGCGAAGGAAGCGAAGGGTGTGTGGCAGTGTGTGATTTTAAGGGGTGGCTCCAGTGGCAAGCAAGATGGCCAATGTGTCTGTTGACACTTGACGCCTGACACTGACGGATGATGGATGGCTGACGACTGGGGGCAAGTGACAGCTTCATCAAGTGCAGCCAGGTGCAACTGCAAGGCGTTCGTTCGTCGTCCATTGATGGAAACATTTACCGCAATTCACTCGCAACTCTCTCTCACTCACTGCATCTCTCTCTCTCTCTCTCTCTCTCTCTTTCGTTACAGATGACGCCACTGCCACAAGTGAGAAGGAGGATACGTTAGTGGCGGCGCGGCATTGACTATGGGAACAGAGGCATGGGCGTGTGTGCGGACCTTGGGTCTCATCGATGGTGTCGGGCATTGAGCCACAGCCAGCCACATCCACCAAAGCAGCAGCAGCAGCAAAAATCCCCATCCCAGCTCCCAATCAGCAAGGGCTCCCCAGCAGCAGCAGCAGCAGCAGCAGCAGCAAACACAGCCACGATTCCAACTACCACAGCGCTGACGGCATCGCCAGCGAAAACGGCTGCATTCACAGTGAAAACAACGCGGAGAAGAGGACGAAGACGGGCTGACGGCGGAGGCGACGAGGACGAGGAAGTGGATGCCGCCATCTCCATCTCCAGCTCCAACTCCAGAGCTAGCGCCAGTGCCAGTGCCCGATCGAGCCCCATCTCAAGCTCAGGACCTGCCACCGGATCGATACAAGTTTTCATCAAATTTGTGCTGATTTCGTTGCTTACCCTTCTAGCGGAAAATGCACAAGCGCACAACATTCCAGGTAAGTGGGGAAGCCAAACCCCGAACCCCGAACCCCGCACCACGATCCTGCACCTGATTCCAATTCCCATTCGCGGCTTAATTAAATTTCTGGCGAAATCGCCCCCAAAAGCCTCGACTACTCGCGGCAAAAATTACATCAGAGAATTTGATAAACGTTTTTGTGTTTTTTTTTTTCTTTGCCGCCCTGAAAGTCCTCCAAAACTTTCCACTGCTTGGAGTGGGCGCAGGGAGAGGGCAGTGCTTTGAAGGAAATAACTTAACCCACGCTAGAGGGGGGAGAGAGGCAGAGAAGAGAGAGTCCACTCCAATCTAATGCCGTAGAGCTCGGTACTTTGGCGGCAGCATGTGTGTGGGGCGCAAGTCCGGTGGAGATTTTTATTCCGTGTTCGGGAAAATTTAATGGTGCACAATAAGCGGCTTACGTGCGGGCAAAGCAGATTACATTTGGCAATTAGTTGACAGTCGGCTGACGGATAGGCGGATAGACGCATATTGGGAGAGAGACAGAGAGAGAGCGAGAGGAGTGCCTCTCGATGGGCCGCATTTTGATTTGGTTTTGGAGTCAGATTCATGCAGAGTCATCGCAGCAGCTCCTACTCTGCCCCAAAGTGGCATATGAGTGCCTACGGTGCTCGGCCGACAGTTTCGCCCCTCGTTTTGTCCATCAAAAACGTCGAGAATGTCACGGGTTAGCTGCCCCACGAAAATAGAGTCCTGAGGAGGCGTTCTGGTGAATTCAATAAGCTAGGGCCATCCCCCCCCCCTCCGCAGGACATTAAAAGTTGCTACTTCCTTCGCTGCCGCTCAATGTACCGTGACGTTTCACGTTCTACGCTCCACGTTCTTCGAGTGAATTAATTCAATTTAATTTAGCCGAAAATTGGAAAAACCGCTTGAGATTCCTTGGCCTTCGGCGGCAATGGCCACGATGGCCACTTTGCTGCACGGTCGAAAGGTCAACGTCTACAGAAGAGGGTGGTTTCGAGGCGTGGCCAGGGGGCAGCGGCAAGGGCAGGGGCAGGGGCGTAGATAGAAAATTCCGAAATGAGTTCCTGGAAAACGACTCAACTTAACTTTAATCAATGAAAACAAAGTGCGGCGCTCTGTTGAATAACTCAGCCGCTGAGCGTTGAGCGCTGAACTAGAGGCTCGAGTGCTGGAGTGCTCGAATGAGAGGTGGAAGAGTGGAAATGTCTGCCTCTGTCGGTGTCTCTGTCTCTGCCTCTGTCGTTGCCTTTGGCTGAAGGACATTCTAAATGGAATAATGAAACCACTTTTGCATGTTAACGCCATCAAAAGGCGCGAGACAGAGACGACGAGCGGGCGCGGTCGCGGGGCCGGTCGTAGACTCCTCTGACTTCCTCCTGGCTTCCTGCTGCTACCCTCTAGACGAGTGCCGCCCGGGCGACATGTCTGCAACATTATCAAAGGGCAATAGACGCACAAGTGCGGCGACTATACGACTACGAGTATACGCTCCTCATTTCCATCATCATCATCATCGTTGCTGTTGCCGTTGCCGTTTCGGTGTTCTCGTCCTCCTCCTGTTGTTAATGTTAACGTTGATGTTGATGTCGTTAATGTTGTGTTTTGTTTCTTTCTTTTTTTTTTGGGAGGAAAAGCGGGACAGAACAGGGCGGGACAGGGCAGGCTGGGGAGGCTGTGGAGTGGCGATGCAAATAGTCTGCCAAAGCTGCTGGCCAAGTTACCATAAATTTATGCAAATGCCAAAGTCAACAAGCGTGCAGTGCATAAAACAAGGCAAGGCAAGGCAAGAGCAAGGGGCAGGGGCAGGAGCAGGGACAGATGAGATGGGGCACGAGATGAATGAGAGGGGGGGTCGGCCAGCTGAGTGAGTGAGTGAGCGACTGGTTAAGTGTCTAGTCAAGAGTGGCTAACAAAGACGTCATGTACCCAAGTCCTGACAGGCTCTGCTCTCTTTTCCTTTTTCTCGATTTTCCCATTTTCACACTGAAAGAAAATTATGCAAAATGCATTAAGATGATTTTTGCTGTTTCCATTCTGGTCTTTTCCGCCCCCCCAATCAGTTTTGAGCTGCCAGAGGAAGCTCTGGCACATCCACTTCCACATTTGATTTCGATTCAGATGCAGATTCAGACCCAGATCCACATCCAGATACGTCTGCCCTAGCGATGGCCCTGCTGGTGCAAAAATCAAAGCCACAATACAGGAAGGGTCTGAAGAGGGGGGGCAGGGCACATCCACTCGATTGCAATGGCAGCAGCTTCACATGTGCAGGTCAAAAGTTGTTTGTTAACAAGTTTAGAGTCATGCCCGAGCCAGGAGCCAGCAGCCAAAGCCAAAGCCAGAGCCAGAGCCAGAGGAGCATCTGCAGCCTTCGCCCGTCGTCCGTCTGGTGTCTTCCGTCTTCGAGAGGAGCCCGTGTCTGTAACAGGATATGCTCCCGTTATTGCATTGCTTCTTAGTTGTTGTCCTGCTGTTTCCGACAATTCATTTGCATTTCCGTTCTGCCATTCTGCTGCCGTTTGATCTGCTTGCCCAATTGCAAGCGAACATTTTCAACTTCATTTTGACCATGCCACACGCACTCATACTGTCCTCCTGTGCGGAGAGTGGGATGCGGCAGGGAGTTGGGCAGTTGGGGGGTGGGGGGTGAGTTGTTCATGCATAAATAATACCCCACACATTCGCACCTCGCCAGCACAACAAGCAGCCTAATCAGCGACTGTCAAGTGTCCGACGGACACTCCACCACACACCGACATACGAATGGACGGACGGACGGGCGGACGGGCGGACGGGCGGACGGACAAGTGACAAACGCTAATGAAATGTCACTGTTCGTTGAGAGTCGAGAGTTGGGAGAGTGTCAGAGGCAGAGGCAGAGGGACAGATATACAGACATACATACAGCCAGTTGAAAAGGTGTAGAGCAAGTTTTCGTCAATCAGAGTCGAGAGTCCGTGTCCGGCCCCGAGAGTTCCGCATCCGTATGTCCAATAACTTTTGTTCGAGTGGCCGACACTGCATTCCTGTGCATATTGCGGGTCCGCCACATCCACTGGCATTCGATTAGATAACTGATATTCCATGGCTATGCCGCTCCCTCTGGAAACTGGGGACTGGAGACTGGGAATGCGGCTACACATCAGTCATTGACCAGCACTTGACATGTGACCGACGTAGCCATCAACAAATCCATTTAAAAGTAACCCCCGGGGCATGTTAGTGCTCGTCCCATGCCGTCCCGTCCCGTCCCGGCCCGTCCCTATTTTTCCTGCCATCACATCACACGGAATGTCAGCAATGGAGAATGGAGAATGGGAAATCGTGCTGAATGTCACGTCTAAATAGAAAGCAATAACGACTCGTAGTAGTCGACTGCGATGCGGAGGCCATCGCATCGACTGCGGCTTTTTTTCTGAATTGGCCGTATTATGGGCGGATCACGTCGAGGGTCGGGACACCGTAGTGTCCCTGGGGAACCGGCATGGAATGCCACGATACTCGCAACAAGTAATGCAATATCCGTATCTCTATCGTTTTTTTTTTCTTTTCCAATTGCAGAAGATGCTGTGCACATCACGGCCATACTCGGCGAGGGCGTCATCTTCAACTGCCATGTGGAGTTCCCCAACGACCATCCGGTGCCATATGTCCTCCAGTGGGACAAGAAGGTGAGCGAAACGGTACGATATCACAGATAACATTTCTTCTCTAAACTCTCTTTTTTACATTACGTTGTTCTGATACGCAAAAAGCAAGAAAAAGTAAGAAACAGTCAGAAAAGACAGACCACCCCCCGTACCACGTACCACGTACCACGCACGCAAGAGGCGGTGACACAGTAAACCAACCAATTAAATGAATACTACTCTCTGCTACTACTACTACTCCTAATGAATACTCTACTATTCAGTGTGTTTTCTATAATACTACCAATACGTACAAGAAATTATACTCTACCATTATACTACTCGTACCCGTACTCGTACTCGTACCCGTACCCGTATGAGAGCATCCCCTTCTCGAATCAGCATCTGTATTTATTATTTCTTTAGTTCTCGATCTGTGTTTCCTTTCTGTTCTGTACTGGCATCCTTTCTGTTTCCTTTGCTAGCCATAAAGCTTCCACTCCATGCGGCTTACGGCTTACGGCTTACGGCCTTCGGTTTACAGTGCTGCAGACCAACAAAACAGAAATTTGTGATCCGATATACATATATTCGAATGCATACGCCAGTCCATAGTCCACACTGCTTGAGATTACTATCGTGTATTGGTCGTGTATGATATACGTATAAGTGTTTATGTGTTGCCCGATTGGTATTCGTATTTTGCATTTGGTTTCCGTTCCGTTCGGCTTTCCGTTTTCCGTTTACCGTTTACCCGTTTCGATTTTAGTTCAGTTTCCATCTGCCATCTGCCCGCCCCCTACAGACACACACACACACACACAACACACACACACCATATGTGTGGGTGTGATCCTTTTAGGCAGCAGGCTTTCTTTCAGCTTTGCAAGCGACCATTCTGCTTGGGATCGGAACTTTCATTCTTTAAGTTTACCCCACTTAACAGACACACACACACACCAACACACACACAACAAACACACACTCTCTGAACTCACACTCTGAAATGATTATTTTTGCGGCATTCGAATGAAAATTTTAATGAAATTATTTGTCAATTGAAGGGAATTGAACGGGCTTCACAGCACCCGGACCCCCCAAAGAGAGCGAAAGAGAAGAAACTCGATCAAAATATATATCAAAATATCAAACAGAAAATTCACAAACCACCAAAAACCGAAAATATCAACAACAAATTCCATTTGCAAATCAAAAAAACCCAAAAATCGTATCGAAATTCGTTCGCAAATCGTTCGACTCGAAACATATTGTACACACAGAAATTTGTAGCCTTAGCTTAGCGGCTCACTGCAACGCAAAACATAACGAAACAATTTTCCAGCATTTTTCGCATTTTCCGCTCTTGTTATTCTCCTCTCTCATCTATGCAAAAATCCAAAACAATTAGCCACAACTATTCATAGCTGAGCAAAATACTCGTCCACGTACTCGTACTCGTTCTCTCGTATTGAAAACGAATTAGTCACCAATTTTCAAGATTTTGTCCACTCGGAAACCATCACCTTTTGCACTCTTAACCCACCACACACCATGCCACACCACACCAAACCAACCACCAGGCAGGCGGCACTGTCGCAGTCTCAGTCTCAGTCGGAGAAATGCCTGACAGAGTTCTGTAGAAATATGCTAATGTTTGGGAAAGTTGAGCCGTAGATAAACAGACGGAAGATTTATTCCGAATTCCATGAGGATGAATGCGAAAACTTTTCAACTCTGCCGCTCTGCCACTCTGCCACTGGCCATCAGTACAATCAGTTAGTGACGGATTGATGGCAGGACTTTCCCAGCATCCCAATATATTTCGTACTCGTACTCTGACTGTGACTCTGACTATGACTCTGCCTTTGCCACTGCCAAACTTTGCCACCAATGCAAATTCCTGTAGGATAAGCAAATTGTATTCCAATCAAATAAGCAAACGAGGCAATCCAATCCTCGTAATAGTCCTCGAAATAGCCAGCACCAAAACACCACCCACAGCAATACACTCTGTCATGTCTCATACTTTTCATACTCTGATAAATTTTCATTTTCATTTGGAATTTTTGTATATACATATACTCGTATTGTGTAATTATTTGCATGCCTCTAGTACTTTATTTTATTTTATTTTATTTCTCGTTTCTCGCTGTCTCTGGGAGACATTGCAGCTGTATCTGCAGCCTGCAGTGTAAACTTTGATGAAGCCAACTAACGTGGGCAACCTCAAGCTCAAGCTCAACTTCAACTTTAACCTAAACCTCAACCTCAAACAGCTTACTTTCCATAATTTCAAGCACGCCTAAGCCTAGGAAACTAACTTTCTTTGGGGCTGGGACTGGGCCTGGGTCTAGTACTGGGACAGGGGCTTCTGCTGCTCTAGTTGCAGCGATTGTTGCTGCCGCTTGATAGCTAAGCTCAAGCCAAGCAAAAACTAAGAAAAACCGCAAGGATAATAAAGTGGAAATGCCGACGCTGTGGCCAGGATAAGAATGCGATGGGGATGGGCGTCAAAGTCACGCGGAGAATGCAGTGCAAAAGTTCTTTCTGTGTGTGTGTGTGTGTGTGGCAGATAACGTCTCCTGCCTTGCTGCTACTCTTGCGGCTGCGGCTGCTGCTGCCTTTTTTTGCCCAAGTTAAAAGTTTTACAAGCAATTTTAATGCCAAACAAAGTTATAAGTACTGCAAAAAAGTATGTTTATGTTTTGTCGCGATAAAAGTGCACACACGCGCACACATTCGCAATCGAATGGAATGGCATGGAATGGGAATGGATGGAATGGGGCAAATGGGAAAGCGAAGCAAAGGAAAACAGTAAATGGCCGAATTAAAGGGATTAACATGGCTTTAGCTTTTAATTTATGCGCTCGTATATCTCTCATTCTCTCGCTGTCCCTCTCGCTGTACCTTTTTTTCCCACATATAATTACATGCATTGCTGGACCATAAAAGCGGAGGAAATGGAAGAATTCCTGCCCCCGCTACCCACCTTCTCACAGACCCATTCTCTGTCCAGTGTGGCAATTCATTAAACGTTGCCTACTTTTCTGCGCTCTCTCTTTAAAGAGCGAAAATGGTCACAGAGGGAGAGAAAAGAGAAGCGGAGAAAAATGGGCCACAGAGAAGAGGCGTCAGAGTCTGGCGTTGCCTTAGTTGCAATCTAAATTAATTGCTACTGAATAAATTAAGCGGAAAAATGTTTGCCGAGCCAACTTATGACGCTTCTGCGAGTGCGAATATTAATTTTGGCCCCACGACCAGGGACCAGGACCTCGTTTGTTGCCTGTCTGTCTGTCTGTGTATCTGTGTGTCTGTGTGTATGTCCCTGTGCCAGTGCCTGTCCCTGAATGTGCCATGACAGGGTCCCTCTGCTCTGCCTCGGATGCCAAAGCAAATTATTTCATACGCCAGCCTAGGAAATTATTAAAACGTCTATAAGTTTTAATAAGCGAGAGGCGAGCCGAAGCGGAGCCTCCTATCTATCTTTGCCAGACGGCAGGCAGGAGCAGGCCCTGGCCCCCGTCTAATTACGGAAATAAATCGATTAACTCTCAGGCCTGGGGATAACATGGCGTATGAGCAATTTTCTTACCAATTATTTATGTATACGCAATTATCTCTCTGTATCCGTCACTCCCACGTGCCACTGCCACTGCCTCATATTTCAATAAAAGTGCAAGAGAGACAGGAAGAGAGTGAGAGAGAGAGAGAGAAAGAGATAGACAGTAAAGAATCCTTTTTTCTACCAAGTGTTAATGCTTGGCCGGGTTTTGGCCAACTTCTGGTCATGCGAAAGAATTCGAATCGAAAATGCATTCGGTTCAATGCATTCGTTTTTCCCCACTGCCTGCAAATGCCCCTTTTGGGCCCCTGTGGCATGTGGGATATGGCATGTGGCGCCAACGAATAAAATAAACAAAGGACATGCTGGAAGCCAGAGGCGAGTGCACAGGGGCGACCGGGGCGACCGGGGCGGATGCCTTTTTGAGGATTGGGGGCGAGTGCAGGTTAACCCCAATTTTTGCTCCTCGCCTCAAAATATTTTACATGCACATTTTTTTTATCTGCACAAGCTAGAATTTCAAATGTATCTCTCTTTTGGCCCCGTCGTTGTTTTAGTTGCTGCCACACACACAACAGATACACACAGATACAGATGATTTATTGTTGCCACCGTGTCCCTGGCACACACTGTGTGTGCCTCTGCCTTTGGGGGCTGTTGATGAGCATGCAAACTGCTGGCCTGGCGACGAGGCAAGGAAGCGTTTGGTTTGGTGTGCTGAGCGCAGAGACTGGGGAGAGTTCGTGTTGACAGTGAAAATGTGTGGCCATGTCTGTGTACAACGAACGAGTATCTGTGTGTGTGCGCGTGTGTGCGTGTGTGTGTGTAGTGGAATGTTTACCATGCGGCAGCGCAATTTCTCCACGTTAACGTGATGAGTTTTTGTTTTGACTGTTTGTAGATTTTACTTTTAGAAGCGTTTCTCCACAGCCACAGACAGAGACACAGACACAGACAGAGACAGAGAGAGCGGGCACCCAGTTATGTCATTGTAGCTGTATATGTATATGTAGCTGTGTGTCTGTGTGTTTATGTGTCGCAACTCAATTTATTTCTGACAGTTGTTTAGTTGTTTGTGTTGAGAGAAACTTGAATTTCCGATTAGCGTACGCAGGTTCTTCTATTTTCTTTTCTTTGCGTTTCGTTTTTGTAATTGCCTTACCACCTGCATGCCACATAGAATAGATATAGAATATATATATATATATGCATATAAATAACCCCATCCATAATGCATGCTCCACACAGTGTTAGAGCTATTCGCATCTGTTTTGTATTGTATTTACAATTTACCCGCTTCACAACTTCAGCCTCAATCTCATACTGAATCTGAATCCCTAACCTTAGGTTAAATAACAACAAAAAAAAACTGTCTGTTATCCCCATATCCCTATATCCCTGTATCCCGTGTGTCCTGTGTATACCGTAACATGTCCCAGTGTACGAGTGTATGTAAAAACTGTAATTCAGACTCCGTTTGTATCGTATGTACAGATGCCATATAGCACCATTCAAATGCATATGCATACCGTTACAGTCGAAGATCAAATCAAAACTGCCCCTGCGAGTCGCAACGAATCAGATGAAGACTAATGGCTCGTTCTCTCGTTATCACAATCCATAAACAGGGCTCCGATCTGCCCATATACATCTGGTATGAGAGCTATCCGGAGCATATCGAGGAGGGCTACAAGGGACGCGTGTCGCGCGTCTCGCAGGACTCGCCCTTCGGCAGCGCCTCGCTCAACCTCACCAACATCCGGGAGTCGGATCAGGGCTGGTACGAGTGCAAGGTCGTCTTCCTGAACCGCGATCCCAAGCAGCACAAGAACGGTACATGGTTCCACTTAGACGTACATGCACCGCCGCGCTTTAGTGTTACGCCCGAGGATATTATATACGTAAATTTAGGTGAGTAAATGCCACCCCAATCCCTCTGTATAAATCACATTCACTTTCCCCCGAGAAGTAGCTGAGCAGCAACTTCTCATATTTGGCCACTCTCCTATTTGGCCCGCTGTCAGCGTGCCACAGAATTAAGTGGAGTGTGCCGTGTGCCCACCCTCCTTTCGCCTATCCCTATCCCTTCTCCTTTTCTGTTCTTTTTGACTGTGTCAAATGGCCGGCAATTTGTTGCAGCGCCCGAATGAGTTTGTCACCTTGGAAATGCCATTCCATTCCCAAGAATGAACTACAGTCCCCAGTCCCCAGTCCCCGGTCGCCATGCGTCGTAAAAAGTGTGCCATGCCAGGCCATACTTTCGGGGCGTCCCCCAAGGAGTTATGTGCCGCCATTTGTCATCTTCTGAATGGGCAAGGTCCGCCCGTAAGAGAACGAAAATCGATAAGCTCTTTATGTTCGCAATCGCATCAAATCAAATTTCCGTCGCTTAATCAAAAGTTAAAATGTTTACAAGTCCAAGTGGCTGTCCCCCGCCCTGCCACGACCCAACCCAACAGAGCGAAAGCGAAACAAAAGACGTTGCCGGAAATGCGTCGAGAGAAAATGGCGTTGCAGCGCATAAATCAGACACACACACACACACACACACACACAAACAGCGGAGAGGCAGGAATAACAACGAGCCCAGTGAGGCGGCACAAAGTACTATGATGAGGATGAGGACGAACTGCAACAAAGAGCCTCGACTGGGTATCCCCATTGTCTGCTGCAAATGGTGGCGGTGCAGCAGCTATCACCGTTAGCCGAGCAGCAGAAACAAAGCCGTGTGGCACAGTTACCCGGAAGGAGGCAGGGTGGGGTGCATTCCCCTTATACCTTACCCCTACCCACATTTCGCATCAAATGAAACCAAAAAGCGTAACAATTGCCACCACTTACCTTATTAATTTCTCGTTTTCGTTCTCGTTCTCCGTTCTCTTTCTCTGTGTCTCCCACTCTCTCTGTATGCAGGTGATTCAATTATACTCAATTGCCAGGCTGATGGCACACCGACCCCGGAAATACTCTGGTACAAGGATGCCAATCCCGTCGACCCCTCGCCCACTGTGGGCATCTTCAACGACGGCACCGAGCTCCGGATCTCCACCATACGGCACGAGGACATCGGAGAGTACACTTGCATTGCACGCAACGGTGAGGGGCAAGTCTCCCATACGGCCCGTGTTATAATCGCGGGCGGCGCTGTAATCATGGTAAAAACCTAAATACAAATGAATTACTTTTGAGATACATAATCGAAATCGAAATCTGAATCGAAATTGAAATTGAAATTTAAATAAGCAAAAGAGGGGCCGGGTAGAGGGAGCCCTGGGCCCATTCAGTGGGGAATCCATTGGCCAAAAGTCTCGCTTTGGGGTTTGCTAATAGTTTCTATGTATATTCTCTCACACCCCACCCGCCCCATTTCCCACCCAATTCCCAACTCAAAACCCTTGATTTACCCGCGATAAAAGGATAAGGCCGCGCCCGACAAGCACGCACGCACCAAGTCCCCCCCAGCGTCCCCGAATGCCGTCAATGAGAGATTTGCTATAAGAGTAAGTGTTGAACTCAATTCTACTCGCATCTTCTGTTTGCATTCTGCATTCTGCATTCCGCATTCCGCATTCCGCATTCCGCATATACTGCATATAATCTGTTCAACGCTTTTCCATTAACCGTAGCCGAAGACCCAGACCCTCCATCTGCGGCAGTCCCCTGCTCTGTCCCAGCCCCAACTAAATTGAAAGCAAACTAATCACTCTAAAGGCTTTGGGGCTGCCACCAGTACCAGCAGAGGCTTCAGAAATCACCAGACCAAACCATGTCCAGGGCGTGAAGAGCCACCCCATCAGCAGCAGCAGCAGCAGCAGCAGCCGCAACCCGATTCAGTATTTGGTATTCTGATTCCAAGAGCCCAGAAAACGCGCGGAAACCAAAAACGCGGCTAAGCAAGAGCCCCAGCAAACGCGCAGGGGAAAAATTGCAACGAGCGTAAAAGTTTTTGTGTGCCTTCGTGGCACTAAAATGCAGTGGAGGGATGCTTCGTGCGCCACCGCACGTATCCTGCCCCGCATGCAACGTCTCCATTCCGTCTCTCCATTTACAGGCGAAACAAAAAGAGAGTCAGTGCAAAACAGTGCCCCAAACGGAACGGAATAGTGGGAGTGGAGCAGCAGGGGAGCGGAAGCTACTCGTAGTCGTACTGGTGCAGAGGAGGAACTACTCCGTATGCGCCAGGCATACACTTGACATGGTCATTCGCCTGGTCTGGTCTGGTCTGGCATTCCCATACCCTGCTACCTTTTCACCCACTCACACTCACTCTCTCTCTCTCTCTCTCTCTCTCGTGCATGTGCAAGTGTGGGGCATGTGTGGGGGGTTAGTCGTATGCAGAGCCATACCGTACTTTTGTGCGCGGGACGCTAATGCATTTGCATTTCGGGCTATGCACAGTGAGCCATAGCTATGCGGAGGCCACTCCCTCTCATATTCCTTGCTTCCTGCCTTCGCGTTGGCTTGAACTTTGACCTTTTGTGACCCAATAGGTGGGTGGGGGAGGGAGCTTAGAGGCAGACGAAAACTAAAACCAAGGCGAGGACGAGGACGAAGACGAGGACATATACATAGTACCTCGGAAGCAAACTTCAATTACTGCAATTGCCACATTTTGTGAGGCAATCTTCGCATAAATATTGCAATAACATTTATCTGTATCTGTGGCCACAAGCTCAGGACATCGCCAAGAGGCGATGGCTAAAGCACAGACACAAACGCACACATTTGACTGGGCTTTCAATTGAATTTACGAGGCTATTCCTCCGGTCCGCAGTCAACCCACATCATCCCCACATCACAGCAGCAGTCCTGCCATAACTAAAACTAATTCAAATGAAACATTCTGCAAGCAAATTGCCCAAAAGCAAAGGCAACAGCAAAAGCAACAGCAAAAGCAAATGTGCCCATTAAATAACCCAAACGACGAACAACAGGCAGGGAATGCACTCATGCAATTACCCAGAGCAAGAGCCACAGCCAGACCAGGGACGGGACGGGTACCAGGACATCACGGATCGAATGGCCGGGCGCAGAGAGGGAGCAGAGGGTTCCTAATGTTCGCTTTTGACATTTGACTGACAAGTTGTCAATGGCAGTCAGCGGAGCATTGGGAAGGGAAGAGCGGATCCCCATTTCATAGTTGTGACAGCAGAAATGTTATTTCTCATGAGTCGAGGCGAGTCGTCGGGGAGTGAGAGAGCGACTGCACACAAAGGATATCGATGACGGCGACAGCCAAAAATTAGCTGTCAAGCTCCATGCCACGTTCCAGGACTCGTTCAGCTCCGTTCCGTTATGTTCTGTTCTGTTAGAAGGGGATTTAGGGTTAAAGTTACGGCGCTCATCATTTGAATTAGTTAAACAAAACAGTCCACAAATACAGTCAACAGTCAACCGTCATAAGTTTGTACGCCCATGCCACCAGTGTGCAGATTTTTCTCAAGGGATTCTCTTTTTTCTCCATTTCTCTCTTTTGCCTGTCTCTCTCCGACTGCGACCGACAGGTGCCCCCAACCAACCAAACGAAGCTCGAGGGCGAAAAAGTGATATTCTCATGCGAGGCTAAGGCGATGCCCGGCAACGTGACCGTCCGCTGGTTCCGCGAGGGCTCGCCGGTGCGCGAGGTCGCCTCGCTGGAGACCCGTGTCACCATTCGCAAGGACGGATCCCTCATCATCAACCCCATCAAGCCGGACGACTCGGGCCAGTACCTGTGCGAGGTGACCAACGGCATCGGCGATCCGCAGAGTGCGTCCGCCTACCTCAGCGTCGAATGTGAGTCCAGGCCATTCCATTCCATGCTATTCCTCCTCGACTCAGTCATCCATTTGCCCTCCACAGATCCAGCCAAGGTCACGTTCACGCCCACGGTGCAGTATCTGCCCTTCCGGCTGGCAGGAGTCGTCCAGTGCTACATCAAGTCGAGTCCCCAGCTGCAGTATGTGACCTGGACAAAGGACAAGCGCCTGCTAGAGCCCTACCAGATGAAGGACATCGTGGTGATGGCCAACGGGTCGCTGCTCTTCACTCGCGTCAACGAGGAGCACCAGGGCCAGTACTCCTGCACGCCCTACAATGCCCAGGGCACGCACGGCGCCTCCGGCTTCATGGACGTGCTGGTCCGCAAGCCGCCGGCCTTCACTGTCGAGCCCGAGACGCTCTACCAGCGCAAGGTCGGCGACAGCGTCGAGATGCACTGTGACGCCGTCGAGGCGGAGGGCACCGAGCGGCCCACCATCAAGTGGCAGCGCCAGGAGGGCGAGCAGCTGGCCGACTCGCAGCGCAACCGCATCAAGATATCCGGCGGCAACATGACCATCGAGAACCTGCGGCGCGAGGACTTCGGCTACTACCAGTGCGTCGTCTCCAACGAGGTGGCCACGCTGATGGCCGTCACGCAGCTGGTGATCGAGGGCACCCAGCCGCATGCCCCCTACAACATCACCGGCAAGGCCACCGAGTCCTCCATCACGCTCCAGTGGCTGCCCGGCTACAGCGGGGGCTCCGAGTACAAGCAGGACTACACGATCTGGTTCCGCGAGGCGGGCGTCAACGACTGGCAGACCATCTCAGTGACGCCCTCGGGCAGCACCCAGGTGACTATCAATGGGCTGGCCTCCGGCACCACCTACGAGTTCCAGGTGGTGGGCCGCAACGTTCTCGGCGACGGGATGATGAGCAAAGTGATGACCGTGCGGACGCTGGGTGAGTTTTTCCATGTTCCTTCGATCCTCCTTTGCATTTAGTACTTTTTGCTTTGGCTATTTTCCTTTTGCTCCTTTTGGGTTCCTTTTGCTGCAGTCGTTCCAGCATCGTATGCACATTATTCTATCATGAAAACCTTTGCACCAGAGGAGACTCGATCCTTCGGGTCGGGGCCCTCTCTATTATGGATTGGCTCTAACATAACGCTCTTGTTTTTCTCTCGTTTTCTTCTCTTTTTCTCACGATCTCCATCGATCTCCAAACAAAAAAAAAAAACCAACCAACCAACCAAACCAAACCGCTACTCGATCTAAAACTATCTCATACTAATCATGCGCCGCAATCAAATGCAAAATGCAAATTCAATGCCAAAACTCTCAACATCGACTCTCACTCGCGCATTGAATTTCGAATTTTTCTTGCTGACGTTGGATGCCACCATTGAAAAATTCAAATTCAATTCAATAGAAGACGCTCCGGCAGCGCCACGTAATGTCAAGGCTGCAACACAACCGCCCGACTCATTCTTTCAGCTAATGCCAGACGAAGCTGGTAAGAGAATCAACAAACCAAAAAACCAAAAACCAAAAAACCAAAAAAACAACCAAAACCCAAAAACCAAAATCCTTAGTCAAGTAAATAAGAAACAAGACCAAAACCAAAACCAAAAACAAAAACAAAGGACCCCAACCACAATTACAGGGATTAAAACTATGAATGAACACAATGACGAATGCTTTCGATAAGGGAATGATTTGCTGATAATTAAATGTAAAACAATGCGCACCGCACAAGTGGCATTAATGTGTAGCGAAGTGTAGTGTAGTGCAGTGTAATTCCGTCTTTAATTTCAACAAAACTGAGATGAGTGAAGTGCGTAAATTTACGCGTTTATTTTTACATTACTGAGAAACAAGTACAAGAGACATGAGGCTTGGCCACAGACCCCCCCACAGACAAACCCCCCAAAAAATAGAATTCAATATTCATTCTGGCAGCAATTAAATATTCAAACCAATTATACAACGCACGAGATGGGTGATGGGGGGAACAGGGATAAGGGATATGGGGATAGGGGATGATCTGCCCTCAATCTGCTCAGTGGAGCCCTGCTGCATGGTTTTATTGGCTGCCAAAGCACGCCCCAAATTCGCGCCATTTCCCACGGGGCATAATTTCTGCCACATGTGCGAGTGGGGTGGTGTGGGCAGAGGCTTGTGCTGAGGAGGATGCGATGTCCGGGCTCTGCTCTGGCTGTGAATATTACATTTCATGCACACACACACACACGCAAGTATCTCTACTTGCTTCTATGTATGCGTGTGTTCGAGCAACGTTCGCAGCGTAATTAAAACAGTTTGTCCCACATTTAATTATTTAAATTAATTGAACTGTTTTTACAACTGTGGCCCCTGTGCCAGCGAGCGAGCCTTTCGTTGTCGTGTTTCGTGTCTTGCAGGTCGTGCGGTCGATATGACAACGCCCACGCCCACGCCCCCCATGCCACACGGTGCCACCCCATGAGGGTGGTGTAATTTAAACAACCATATTACCAAATGCCGAGGCACATTTAACAAGGATACCCAGCCCCTACCCCCTACCCCCTACCACTACCCACTCCTCTCGTCTCTGATCCTGCCGCCCATTGCGGGCGCTGTAGGTGCGGCAATTTGAATGCCTTTGTCGACGTTGCCGCGTGTTTTTCCAACCGCTTTGCGATAATAGTTAATTTTATACTCCCCCCTTCCCAACCCCCCGCTCGCTCACCCTTGGTCTGTAGTTTATACCCTACATCCAACCCCCCTAGTCGTCTCCTCTTGCTGTATATAAGAACAGACACACGCACACACACACACACACACACATACAAATAAATGTTTTCCCCCCATTTAGCGTATTTAATTTACTTGCATTAGTATCTCTGTGTGTATCTGTGTAGAATGTGTGTGTGTGTGTTTATGGGTATATCTGTATGTATGGGTGTGTGTGTAGCATATGTGTGTGTATCAGTGCGTATACGTGTTTTGGCGCACGCGTATGTTCAAAAAATAAGGAAAACAGCAGCAGAAGCAGCACCAGCACCAGCAGAAGCAACAAAATAACAACAACAGAAATACGCCAAAAAAAAAAAAAAGAAACAAAAAGAAACAAAAAAAAACAACGAACAACGAACGAGCAGTGTAGAAACTCTGGCGGTGGCAACTCTGGCGGCAAATGTGCGCTGTGTTGTGTAATGCAACCCTGGATTTCGTGTACGTGTGTACCTTTTTTTGGCGCTTGTAACGAAACACCTTCAGAAAACAACCATCATCCGCAAACGCAACGCCCGCCCATTCAGATTCAGCCACCCACCACTCTACTACTCTACACCCCACCCCCACTCCAGCCCCGCCTCATTCTCATTCTCAGCCACCCCACACACACACACACACACACACAACTAGCAGCAGCAGCAGCAGAAATTGTATTTCTTTTGGCTTTTATTTTCGTTTTTTTGTGCTTTATTTTCTTATAATATTTTTTCTCTTTTTTTTGTTTTTTTTTTTTTGTTTAAATCGTGCATAAAACATCAACGGTAAACCATTTGCCACCACCCCAATGCCAACGCCACACCCACCCCCACAAACCCTCCTTCCACACGGAAGGACGTGCGTGCACGTGTATGTCTGTGTGTGTCCGTGCCGCATTTGTTTATGTCAAGCAATTTTCATACGCCATGTAGACCCTGACGCTGGCACGATGGCATGTGGCACGGAGCACGAGGCACCGAGCGACAGCAGTATTCGGTGCGTGCTGCTGCTGTTCCTGCTACCGCTACTGCTACTGCTGGTAGCGCTTGTTGTTTTATCCTTGCGCCGCAGCGCTTAAAAATTAATAACAACAATGCGAGGCAGAAGCAAGCAACAGCAGCAGCAGCAGCAGCGCGCTACTTGAACAGTTGCAAATTTCTGCCACTGACATTCGACAAAATAAAGCAAGTGGAGCAGCCATTGCTGCTCGACTAGGGGATACCCAGCAGCGATATGCAGCACTCTGCACTCTGCTCTGATTGCGGACTAGACATACCCCGCCTAAGGAGCATGGAGCATGCAGCAAATGCATGTCAAGGCTGATTACGCTCGACAAACACAGACATACAGACACTCTGGCACTCTGGCAAACAAACTCTGACTGACACACGCACACACGTAGCCACATATGTACGTATGGTATGTACGGTGAGCATTTATGAATATTCAATGCATTTCACTGTCATAATTGCAGCCGAGCCACGAAAAGCAGCAGCAGCAGCAGCAGCTCGGTCTGTGCCTCCTTCTTGGAGGTCGACCTCTGGTCTCGGTCTTTGATTTGCATTCCATCAAGGTAAACCAATCGACTGACGGATCTTGAGTGATTGCATTCCCTCAAGATGGTGTGGCCTGACCTTTGGAATTTCCGCCCTCCTACACACCTCCCAATACACCCCCCGAAGAGGGTTTTAGTAGTTAGTATTTCGGTTCTTGGATTGCACTTTCTACTATTGCACTTTTCCTCATTTCGGGCTGCACTCTCTTTAATTTTTAAACATTTTATTGGATTTTTGGATTTTTCGATTTGATTTGTGACGTTTTTCGTTCTGTTTTCTGTTCTGTTTCCGTTTTATTTGCAGACCTCTTAGCATATTTTGACATTTTCTTTCACACCGATTCGCGGGGCAAGCTAGTTTATTCGCCACCCAGATTGAGAGTGAAAGGTACTCGTATCAAAAACATATCACATACAATACATACATACCCTCCCTCCCATATACCCTTCAATATTTTTACAGCATTTTTATTCCACGTGCAGCCCAGCCCCCCTACCACTCCCATGGCCGGCATGTTGCAAGTCGCTCTTAAGTAATGTCTCTGTCTTGCGACACAGCCTGTAATTCCACAATTCCTGCAGCTGCAGATTTACTGCCTCTGCGGGTGCCACACCTACCATCCACAGCACAGTGCCACTGCCAGTGCCACTGCTGCAGTCATAAATAACATTTAACCGTGCGGCGCCTCCTCACAGGGTCGCCTCGTCCCGTACCCTTTGTGTACCCTGTCGTGTCTACCCTTGACATTTTTACAGTGTCTCCGTCCGTCCGTCCGTTCGTCTGTCCGTCTGTCTGCTGTGTCTACCCATCTCATTTAGGCCTTTCCTTGGTCCGTGCGCTTTTCCCTGCCATTCGCCATTTGCCATCCCATCCCATCCCCTTTGCCGCTCTCTCTTCCTTTTGCCATTTTATGTTTTTTTATGTTTGTCACTTGTCTCGTTTATGTTATGTCAAATCTGCGCACATTTTTTATGCGGGCCATGGGCCAAAGGGTTGCCGGTTGCCCCCCACCACCCAGGATACACCTCAAGCTTCAGCTTCACCTCGCCCCCCACCAGGCGCATAATCAACTTTTGATATATGCAAGAGAGTGTTGAGTGTATATGCGCTTTCAAATCTCCCGAGAGAGCTCTTTAAAAGCATTTTTAATTAACATACATACATACATAATGAGCGTGGCATTTGTCGTTAGCGTTTCATAATAAATGGCTTGCACTTATTGCCACATATTGCCATCCCCCCCACCCCACCCCATCCAGCTCATCTGTTATCCTGCAACTTTTTGGGGTAACCTGCCTCCCTAATCTCGTTCCTGCTCTTGTTTCGCTTGTGCGCTGCTGCTGCGCTTTACCCCAAAAATTAAAACAAAATTCTCTCACATCTGCACCGTCAGCAGCGTTCATCTAAGCAGCCACACACACACACACCGCACACAGACACACACACAGTCAGATACGAGTACACACAGATACAACGCATACATCGCTTTTTGCTGTTGAAAATTTCATAAGCGCCATTGGGAGCCTTCATCAGGAGAAGGATGGGCGAGGATGGGGAGGAGGGCCTGTAACCTGGGGGGACATTTACATGACATATCGTATTGTGTCTCCAATTTCTCCAAGCAGTTTTAATTTGCATTTGCATGTGCGACATCCCCCCATCCGGTCCGATACCCTGGAGACCGACCAACGGACCGAACGGCAGTTAATTGCATCGAGCACGAGAGTTCTCACAAATCACCAGCGAGAGGAGGAAGGCCCTGCTGCCCGAGAGAGAGAATTCACTGAGAATTCAGGTTATCCATGGCCTATCCGTATAGGCCCGTAATTTGTATCTGTATTTGTATATGGCCAAGGCCTAGGCTCTAGCCAGACAGACATCAGGGTGTCCGTCTCCATGTCCGTGCAGTCCTCTTCCGTTGTTGCTGTTGCTGCTGCTGTTTCTGTTGCATGGACATGTACTCGTATATTTTTATCATTTTTCCGTTGTGATGCCGAACGGATGTTTGGGGACAAGTATTCAAATACGAAAATGGAAAGTTTTATGTGTGTATGCTAATTAAAATGTGTTTTTGTCAATCCCTTTTCGCCCAGTAAATCCCATTGCCATTCTCATTCCTCGTTCTCATGCCTCGTTCTCGTCGTCGCTTTCCTCGTCATGAATAAATGCATGGTGCAAAAAGAAAGTAAAAATAAAGTAAAAAGAAAGCAAAAAGGGTTGGCTGTGCGCTGGCAAGAGTTGCAAAAAGCCAAATGGAAATTTCATAAAGCTTTTAAGCGAAACGAAAAAAGCGAAAAAAAATAAATGAAATAAATAAAAGAATCTAAAACAAAGCCAGACCTGGGGATGAGCCGAAACAGGGAGCACCCTTTGGAATTAGTTAGAGGATAATATTTTCAGAATGGAATTAAAGGGCTATTAGATCTATCCTCCTGTGGAGGGACATTAGTGCGCGGGGTCCAAGCTGCCCATCCGAATTAATGTACCTTTTGTTTTTGTGAGGGAATCGCCGCCCAACCAAGTGGCGAAGGCAACGCTGAAAAGGTAATAAAAGGGCAGCGCGGACTCCGCGGAAACTCGAAAAATCCTTGGCGTAAATAAACAAAAGCATAAAATGAAATGCAAATAAATCAAAAATAATTCAAACGATTTAGCCCCCACCCACACCTCCCCAACACAGGCAGCAGATGTACGAGTATGTTGGATTTAAAATGGAACATTTTCCCCATTGAGTCTGGTTTTTACGGGAGAGGAATGGGGAATCCCTTCAACACTTCCACTTCCTGTAACATACTAATGGTCTCTTTTTTTCTCTCTCGTCTTCCGCCCCGTCCCCCTGTGTCACCCTGCACCCAAAATGTCGTTACAGGTCCAAAGCCCGGACCACCAAGGAACGTGTCCGTCACAGAGGTATCGAACGGATTCCTCATCACGTGGCAGTCGCCGCTGGAGCGGGCGCACATCGTCAAGTTCTACACCATTAAGTACCGCACGGACGCCCAGTGGAAGACGTTGAACCGCGGACAGATACGGCCGGAGGAGACGCAGTATCTGGTGAAGAACCTGGTGGGCGGACGGACCTACTACTTCCGGGTGCTGGCCAACTCGGAGAAATCGTACGAGTCCAGCGACGAGGTGAAGTTCCCCGTGCCGGCACGTGTCAAGCATAAAGCTATAACCGCCGGCGTCGTTGGGGGCATCCTGTTTTTTATTGTTGCGATCATTTTATCGGTTTGTGCCGTAAAAATTTGCAATAAACGTAAACGACGAAAACAGGAAAAAGGTAACACTGAGGCCCAAAGCTAACACACACACTTGAAATGGTTTTTGATGACATACTCCGATTAATTTTGATAACTGATAACTGATAATGATAATGCCTACTGCTAATGATACTATATAGATGATTATTAACGATGATCCCTACGATATACTCTCTAATACCAGTACTTATCAGAATGCCAGAACGACGATTGATGATGTGTTCTTGTTGTTGTTGTTGTACAATCAACCTAACTATAGCCTTACTAAAAACAGCTACTAAACATGAGTTTCCCCTACAATGCAGTGATTTTTATGAGTTCTGCCTTTTGATTATTCTCAGTTATTTCCCCCGATGGGGGGGATAGTATTGCAATATGGAAGAGCCCCTTCCATTGATCGGCATTCGGTTTATTCGACAACAAAAATACATTTGAGATCCGTTCTGTTCTGTGTGCTGAAGAGTACTCGTAAAACGTAAAACGTAAAAGTTAAATTAAATTAAATTTGTGACAAAACATTCGGAAATTCTCCATAAATTATGCCTGTGTCTGAGAGAATATTTTGCGTACATATTTTCGTTGTAGTTAGTTGCAAGTAAAATTCAGTTGCAATTTGGCAAAATTTGGCAAACCAAAAAAAAAAAAACCTACTGCAAATTTTCTGTATATAATATTTACATACTAATTGGATTTTGGTTTTATGTTTGCTTTTGCTTTCCCATTTTGATTTCCACTTTGATTTGCTTTTTGGTTTGCTTAGCCTGAGTTCTGTTTGGGTCCCTCCCCTGTCCTGCCCTACAATCCAAGACGAACCCAAGACGAATCACTGGTGCCGCTGGTCCAGGACTCCCGCCCGTTCAGTGTGTAGACAAATGAAAAAGATACACTCCCCCAGATCTTAGTTCGCAATTGGCTATCACATCAATCCTCAAGTTACCCTTTTCCGTTTGCATTCCATTATTTACATACATATTTAGTTTTAGTTTTAGTTTCGTATCATTGGCGGATCTTCTGTTTCCAATCTGTTCTGGATTACCTGAAGTTTCTTATTTAGTTTCATATCTGACTTCATAGTGCATTATTTTATTTCTGAAATTCTGAAACGCATGTACATATAAATAGTTGTTGCAACTTTAGTTAAGCATTAAGAAGGATGCAGCCGCAAGCAGAAAGCCGAATCGATAAAGCTCCACTCACGCCCCCACCACCACCTCAACAGTCCCCATGGGTTACTCTCTCCCGTCTCGCCCTCCTTAAGCGGAAATTGAATATGCCAGGGCCTTCATTATATTCGATATTCGTTGGATATACGCGTATAATGTAATCGAATCGAATCGAACCGAACCGAACCTCCTGCTCGTGCCTGCCTTACGTACATGTATGTGCATATGGAACCAACCAACCAACCAACCAGCCAACCAACCAACCAATCCCTCGTCTGTCTCTCTGCCTTTGTCATTGGTTTTTGCTTTAATCTGTATTTTAAGTGGATTAATTAATGTTGCGTTGTTTAAATCAATTATTTATGTATTCTTTTCGGAGCTACCACACACTTACACACCCAGAAAAACAAAAAGAAGACAGAAAAACAGGAAAATTTCGCAGCCCCATTAACTGTGAAATATTACGAATACGAGCGTATTCCACTATATAGTAGAAAACACATTGTTTTTGATTTATTCTTTTGTTCTTTTCGCGCTGTGGCAACCCCACACAACCCCACACACCCACACACACACACACACACAATTACACATACACACTGATAGAGTGAAAGTGAGAGAGAGAGAGATAGAGAGAGAGAAATGCAGAATTAACGTAAAATCTGATATAAATACCACAAAATACCTTTATCCACGAATTAAATTGACAAAAGCATGTTCTTGGCCAACTCGTCGTTGTTTCTGCCCAGGGCTGAGTTCATGCTAGATAAAGGTATTTCAGATCAATCAAAAGAGACAATCTATCTATATACATGGCGCACAGGCGCACATTTATATAGCGCACAATACTGGGCAGACGTTTTTTGTAAACAATTCACGCACAAAGATGGTAAAATAAGGCCCACAATCCCACGTAGAAATTGAATCTAGCCGAAAAGCCGAAAGACCGAAAGGTCGAAAGGTTGAAAGGTCGCAAGGCCTCTTCCAAGCATAAAATGATCGCTCCGACAAAAGTCATTGATGATCGGTCTGGCATGTGCATTGCCTTTTGGGGTCCTGCCACATGCCCGCACAAGATCCTACCCATCGTTGTGCAGGCATGTGGCAGGATCATATCTCCACGTTCAAATCGTGGATGCAATGCACTCAGAAAAGCCCCCACCTTAACCCCAAGACCCTCGCAAAAAAAAAAAAAACTAAAACAAAAAAAACAACGACACTGCGCGCAAGGGTAAGTTTTTGTAATCATATTAAAAATCGATGTCGTGTGCAACCACCGATCCTGAAGTTACTGACAAACTACAAACTAAAAGGTTATTTTCAGACGAGTCCAGTCCCCCCCGCCAACCTAACCAACCTAACCAAACAGTCAATAAATCAATCAATCAATCAATCAATCAAACAATCAATCAACCTCGAGATCACACTGACACAAATGTATACAATGCATACACCACACACCTTATATCATCGATTAACCATACCCATCCACATATGCGTACGTACATCCCATCTATTGTATTTATCTAGCCATCTGTTTTGTCGGTTATAAGCGGATCAAGCGCCCGTCGCAGCCCCCACACTCTCTCAAAAGTATCTCAAGCACCCACGAGCACTCACTCAAGCAGCGCGCTGCGGCGAAAACTCATTTCACACACAGATCTCATAATTACTCAAAATACCACCAAAAGGCCACATCACACCACGAACCACGAACCACACACCACACACCACAAGAAAACAAATACCAAAAACTTATCCACACTTCTCGTTTATCGTTTATCGTTTCTCGTTTTTTTGTATCTGAATCTTGGAATCACTTGTTCTTTTTACGTTCCCTCTGTCGCTCGATGGAGCTGCGGACAAACTTTTGTGTCGCTGAACTTTTTGTTTCCGCTTCCGTTGTCGTTCCATAATCAGCAATATTTGGTTTTCGATTTTCATTAAACTTATCCTCCTCTCTGTTCACTGTTCACTGTTTTCTCTTTTGTTTTGTGTTGTTTTTGTTGTTGTCTTTTTCCATGAATGCGCTCCTCCTCATCCTCATCCTCATCCTACTCCTCCACTTCAATTCTGTGTCTCTCTTCTGTTTTCCGTTTTCCGTTTTCCGTGGCACAATTCAATTCGTATCTTGACCATTCTCTCAAAAGCCATTTCACGTGTCATTGTTTTTTTTTTCCAACCATTCGAAGCCATATCCTAAATAAAATACTGCGACGAGAGAGCACATGGCCGTGTATATACTCGTATATATTTGTATATATATACTTTTTGCATTTACATATAGGCGTATATGTGTGTGTGTCCCTCCTGTGAGTGTGTCTCCCCATAAGTGTGTGCGTGTGTGCGTACCAGGATACGGCCCCGGGTCCGCGTCTCGAATTAGTTTGTCATTGACATCGAACGTCAATGGCCTTCCGCCTTCCGTGCTCCCTCTTTGAAATCCCATCTGGGGTGGGGGGGGAGGGTGTTAGAGCCTCGAGCAGAATTAAGTTTCGATTTAGTTGGGCATTAGATATGCCATGTAATCCATGTATTCCATGTAGTGGCTCTCGTTCCAATTACCGTTTACCCTGACTGCAAAATTAGACTCCTGCCTCCTGCCTCCTGCCATCCGCCTCCTGCCAATTGCCTCCACTAATTGGCGACTTCTTGTGTTGTGCTACATGTAATTGCCACACTAGTATAATCAACATCAGCCCGAACAACTAACAACTTAGTTTAGTCATAGCGATAGTCATAGCACCAACTAACTTACTAACTAAATGAACTAACTAGCTGGTAACTGCTCTAAGTGCTCTAACTGTTAAATGGTTCCAACTGGTGGTAAATGCTTTCTGTTCTGCCCCCCTGTTTCCCCCTAGTTAATAATCTAGTAACTGGCCAAAAATTTAAACAATCTCAACTTATTAGCATCGACAGCAGAGAGCAGACAGCAGACAGCAGGGGGAAGTGCATGCAAATGAGTTAATTTCCTCGCAACGAGTATAAGCGGATGAATCTGCCATATGCATATATGTATATGTATATGTATATGTACATTTACATGTGTATACGTCTATATGTAGAGTGCACTGTAGTAGAGATACATCTATATCTGTATGTGTCCCGTGTCCTGTGTCCTGTGTGTCGTGTATTGTATTTTATTTGCCTGGGATAGGACGGCTCACGCTGCACGCCAAAATTAATTGTAGAAATTATACGTTTACAGAGTTCAACATGGTAGCTTGCAGGATAACGGACGCTCGTAACATTGCAGCCAATGCAGCCAATAATCATCATCATTTGCATCACAATCGCAGTACGGGCTCAATTTCCTCTGGTCAAGTGCCTTTAAAAAAGTGAGTATACACCGCCAACTCCACTCCACTCCAACACACCCGAGGAGGAGAAGGAGGAGCCTTCTTCTGTCTCAATCTGAATCTAAATTGTTCCCGCCTGCAACCTGCAACTGTGTGTGTATCGTGTATCTGTATCCGTATCTATCTGTATCTGTATCTACACTCTCGCTCTGATTGGAATGCACCATTCCCAACGCTCCACTCGATCGCTGTCCTATAGCAATACTGAACATTACCGTGATTATGAAAGCGTTTTTATAGTTCCAGGTCCATCCTGTCATAATCAAAATCGTAAGCAAAACATTTCTCTAACTACAAGTTTTCCCTCTTTGGTTCCATTTTCCGTTCAGTGTTTTTAATTGCCGCTTTTGTTCAGCGTTTTCCTTGAGTTTCTTGAGTATTCTGCATTTCGCATCTTTCCCACGTAATCTAACAAAAATATGTTTCCATCTCTCGTAGGTACAAACAAACCCGAATATCAAGTCTAACCGCCATACTGATTGCCATTCTCCACTGGATCTGGCCACCCGATCGCTGCACCAATTGCCACTCCATCTACAGCTCCCCCACGACCCTCGACGACTGCGACACTGGCACTGGCACTGGCCATGGGAGGCGCTCTGTGAGCCGCATTCAGCGCAGCCTCGATGGCCGCTTCGTCTTGGATGTGGATGGGTCCAAGATAGAGGGCTACACGCTGGACAACAACAACATCGATGTGGTGGATGGGGCCCTCTTTGAGCGACGCAACAGCAACGTCTCCCAGAAGTCCTCCAGCGACGATGGCGGCTTTCTCTCGCGGCGCAACTTCATCACAGCGCGAGCCTCCTGGCGGCGTCCCCTGGTGGCCTCCTCCAGCCAGCTGAGCCTTCAGTCGGCGGCGGACTCGGCGCGCGGCTTCCTCCAGGGCCTGGGCGGCCTGCTCAAGATCGGAGGCAAGCCACAGCACCACCAGCCAGCGCACTTTGAGGATGCCATCAGCGGTGCCCGCTACCAGAACATCCTGCGTCCTGCGTACACCAGCAGCAGCAGCCACAGCCACAATCTGTACGGGAATGCGGACAGGAGTCGCCCGCTGCACATCAACACCATCAGCGGAGCCCTGGGCCTGGGCCAGCAGCAGCACCTCCTCTCGCCGCAGCACTACACCCCCTCGCGGATCTCGCGCATCTTCTCCAGCTCCCCGGCGATGAGCCACCTGCACCACCAGCAGCAGCTGCTGCTGAGCGGCGGCAGTGGCAGTGTTGGCTATCCGACACACTTCAGCGATCTCAGCACCGTCTATCCGCCGAACTCTGCGGAGCGATCCCACAACAGCGGGGCACTGGGGGGTAATCTCAGCAGTCGCTATCGCTACTACTCCCAGGAGCTGCCTTCGTTGAGAACCATCCAGGAGGAGACACGCCGCCAGCAGCAGCAACAGCAACAGCAACAACATCAACAGCAGCCACAGCATCCGCTGGAGGAGCACTTTGTGCCGCTGCAACTGCCATCGCCGCCGTCGTGGAGGAGCTACTACCACGGACAGCTGCCGTATCACAGCTACAGGCCGCGCACGCGGTGGTATCCGCGCCACTACTCCCGCCTCTTCAGCCGCCAGCAGCACGAGCTGCTCTCGCCCCTGCCCGACCTCAATCTCTCGCTGCGCAACGGCGTGGGGGTGGGGGTGAATGCTGGGCTGGAGGCCTCGCCCGAGTCCCGCAGCAGCTCGAGTGGGTTTGGGTCGAAGAACACCTCGAATCATCCGGGCAGCACCAGCGAATGGCGGCTGCTGCCACCATACCGTGCCCCGCCCTCGCCGCCCAAGCACTCGGGGTACTTTGGGGCGGGTGGACTGGGGGGCTGCCAGCAGGCCCAGGGCCAGACGCCGCACTCCGCCTACTCGGCCTATCCGCGGGCCAACACTCCGCCGTACACGATGGCCCACTGGCTGGAAATGATCTCAAGACTGAACGCGGCCACGGACAGCAACCTGCCTGCCCCCAAGGCCCCCTGTCCCGTGGACGTGGGCAGCGTCGATGGCCACTACGAATTCGACCCCGCCACGCCCACTCCCAGCGCATCGACGCCCACGGGCATGGGAATGCTGCGCGAAGATCTCAACCATCTGCACATCGATACGCAGTCGCATCCGCACTCGTTCCATCACCATCTGCATCATCATCACACCTTGGGGCCGCTGAGTGGCAGCCTGCTACACGCGCACGCCCCCTCTGGATACAGCGGGGGGTCTGGGAGTCGCAAGCTGCGCACCCTGCCCCTGCCACACCAGCTGCCGGCACGCTATGACAACGTGGAGGTGCGCCTGCAGGCGATGCGAGAGGAGTTCTACGCGTACCGCAAGCGGCAGGCCATGCAACAGGCGGGAGTGCCCGAAATGGAGAGCGTGTGCTGAGACTCCAGTCCCCAGTCCCCAGTCCAGTCAAGCATTTAATTAAGTTCCACATGGCATCCACACATCCGCATCCACATCCACACACCCATGAAATGCGCTTCAATGACAATGAAACGGCAAAACACCGCAACTGCGATGCATCCAACCCATCAGAGCCATCAGAGCCATCAGACCCATCACATACAGGTCGTAGATACGAGAGACGGATGAGCAGCCGCAAGCAGCATGCCATTGCAATCAACATTCAACCGCATATTGAACGTACGAATACGAGTACGAGATGATACATGATACATACTCGTAGATACAGAGATGAATCAGGAATCGGATCAGGCCACACATCTGTGCACGCGTACTGCCATACCCATACCCAAACCCACACCCACACCCATTCCCCCCACATGTTAGAGATCCCTCAGATATGAACTTAAAAAGTTACCTAGCCCCAAAAACAACCCCAGCAATGAAACAATTAATAGATTTTACGGGAAGAGAGATAGAGAGAGAAAGAGAGAAGCCAAGCGAATTCCACGCGAGAATTGTAAATACTTTGAGAAGGAGGAGGAGGAGCAGCAGGAGATAGAGAGGGGTATGCCGATGCAGATGCAGAGAGGGGACGAAAGTTTAAGTATAATATTTAAAGAACTATAGCAATTATAACAAAAAATATTATTACAAATCGATAAAAGATAAAGAATTGATATTAAAAAAAAAAACAAAATAGAAAAAAAAACACAAAAGTAAAGAAGAACAAATTACAATTAAATATTATTATTATTTACGAGTGTATTAGATATTTGAATATTTAACGACACAAATACACACACACACACAGATTGATATGTTAAACATTCAGAGAGAGAGTAAGAAAGAGAGAGGGAGAGAGCGCATTAAAAATTAAACATTACCACAATCCCAACAATCCCCACAAGCGTAAGCCTAAATTATGTTAAAATTAAACAAAGGAACACTAAAAGTACGAGTAAAATCAATACGGAATACGGAATATGCTAGCTGTTAAGCATTTAGTTGTTAAAATTATCGATTATCGATAGCTGAGTGACGATGAGCAGACGATGACACGATGTTATAAATAAAAAAAAAACCAAAACAAACAAACAAACAAACAAACGCTAAAACGTATTTAAAAACCACATATAGAGAAATTGTTTCATAATTAAATTATTTAACGACAAAAAGAACCTACAGAAAAACCAAAACAAAACAAAATGAAACGAAACGAAAAACAGTTTAACGAACGAATTAAATGAAATATAACTGCTGCATATATGTTTACTGTTACACACAAACACACACGATAATTAACAATTAACTCGAACAAGAATATTTATTAAACGCAAAACTAAATACCAAAAACAAAACAAAAAAAAAAAACTAAAAAAATAAAACGAATCGATTCTTTCCGGTACGATATAGTATATCCACTGTTTGACACACACCACACACACGATACACGATACACGACACACGACATACACAGCCCAAGACTTGGTCAATTGCGACGCCACTCGACAGTTGAATAAGTTGGTAAGGTAAAAGATACAGCTACAATAACTATAGATACAAGATACAAGACAGACAGAGAGGGTGGTGAGAAAGGGGGGCCTAGGGTCACAGTTGTGCATAGATCCCGAAGATACAGCTGCGTTTCTGTTTTTTTAGGTACTTGTTAATGATAAACGATAAACGATAATTGATAATTGATAAACGATAAACGATCAAATTGTACGGAATGATGGTTTGACACAACTTGACGCCAAAACACTGCCAGAGCGAGAGAAGCGTATAGAAGATGTGTGTGTGTATAACGTATGTAAATTACAGAGAAGAATATACAAGAGATATAATAATAATAATAATAATTATACTAATCATAAAGGTAATACGGATACGGATAACGATAACGATTTGAGGGGGGAGGGTTTAATAGAGACAGCGAGACATAGAGAGAGAGAGAGAGCAAGCAAAGCAAATCAAGAAATCAACTACGAATCAACCAAGAATAACTACTCGAATGATCTCAAAAATTTCTATCTGTATGTATGTAGATTGCCACAGCAATTTCCCGTTTTCCCGTTTAGTTTTCAGACCTTTCCCCAGATGGCCAGAGTAAAGATCGTATTTGCATTAAAAGTTAGGATTACAAAAATCAAAGTGTGGGAAGATTGAAGCGACAGCGAGAGCGAGGGACGGGAAGGGATGGGATAAAGAAAGTTGCATAGTCGATGATTACTTAATTTTTAAATGTTGAGGGTATTCAAGTAATTAAGTTGGTTTTTTGTATTGCATACAGACAGACAAACAGACAGACAGACAGAGAAAACACACACACACACACACAGATACACACACTAAAACGTTTAACTAGAAATGAAAATAAATAAATTAATTAATTGACGCATTAACGAAACGAAAGCACAACCCGAAAGCAAAGCAAAGAAAAGCCAAGAACGAGCGAGCGAATCGAGAGTAATTACAGAGAGTGACGGAATAAATTGAATTTTAATTGATGGCAGTAGATTGAAGATGATAGAGGGCAGGCAGGCAGGAGATAGACAGACGATGAAGGACTTTAAGGCATATACAAATGATATATGATTATGTATGTATATGCTCTCTCCATATATTTATGGATATAGATACTGGATTACTGGATTACTGGATTAAACGGAATGTACATTAAGTAAAGGGAATACCGATTAAAACAAACAAACAAAACTAAGTTAAGTAAATCTAACGCTTTAGTCGTCTGCCACTTTGATTTTTGGACAAGGTGCGACAGACCGTCAGTCTTTAACTTTCACTTCTCGAATCTACTTTCGATGGAAATGATATGACAGAGGAACACAATAGGAACAAAAATAGGAACTATTCAAATGAAAACAAAACGAGATACTTTTGCACCTCCTACTTCTACTTCTACTTCGAGACAGCAACAACATTTCCCTCCCTCTCCCCACCACAACACAACACACCACACCACTTGAGACCATCTTCGCTTCACTTTCCTCCACAACACTTTTCCACTTTCCCCCATTTCCGCATTGCATTTCCCCACACTGATTGCAATTTCCAATTCAGCATATATATAAATCGTACAAGGATAAATCAGTTTAGAGCGAAATATATTGTAATTAACACGACACACACACACACACACTCGACACACACACACATACGTACACACACACTGACAATTATAATGAGAAATTAGCAAAATGAACAAAATTTTTAAACAAATAAAACTTACAAAAACGAAAGCAAAAGCAAAAGCAAAAAAAAAAAAAAACCAAAAACAAAAACAAACAAAAAACGAATAAAAATAAAAAACTTGAAATTGATCAAATAAAACGAATCAAATGGCATTTTCATTGGCCCTCCTTTCCTCTTGCAGATCGGAATCGGAATCCGGAAGCGAAGCCACTGCGGGCCTAATTTCAAAAAAGAATTTTCTCACATCCACAAAAATATCACTCATACGCCTGCGCGGCCACTGTAAAGGCGATGACTGTCTGCTCTCGAGGCCAATTAGAGTAATGAAATTTAGCAGAAAACGCCATAAAAATAGCTTAATTTTCATCAGTTCTAGAATGCAATAGAATGGGAGATACCCTGCAGTGAGCGGCCACCTGTGACTAGCTAAGGGAAAAGAAATAAATGATAACAAATTCTTGAAGAGAATCCAATGGAGAATCGATTGTTTCATGGGCATAGGGTATCAGTTTTCTTGGAGGCGAAATAAATGGTTTCTGCAACACTTTGGCGATCGTTTAATTATTTAAGTGGATAAACGTCGGCGAAAACGAATTGTGGGGGAGACTGCCCGACCCAAAGACCCAGACAATATGCAGCGAAGACCCAATACTCGTACTCGTAAACATCGTACATCGGGCATCATGCATGGATGCACTGCGGTGTGGGCGTGTGTCAAATGTCAAATGTTCAGAAGAAGGGGAGAGGCTTGCTTTGACATGCCAGAGAGAGATAGAGAGGGATCAGCAGCATAGAAATCATCATCATTCCCAACAGCAGAGACAGACAGCAGAGACAGAGCTCTGACAGATCCCCAGTTCTCGTTCTCGTTCGCGTTCTGCAGTCTGATCGCATTTCATTTTTCAGTAGCGCTTCTCCAGTCGTTCTGTGCAGTACGCGACCCTCAAAAACAGTCCGCAAATACAAGTAGACTCTCGTGGCACATTCGGCAGCGGGAATTGCGCACAATAAAATAGTTAGTCCCTGGTGCGGATAGAAATAGAGCAGATATGCTATAGAAATCCGTGCAAAAGAAGAAAAGAAGAACAGAAGAGTGAGCGGAAGAGCGAATTGACCTGATTTCGGGGCTTAGGTTTTAATTTGAATTTGATTTGTATTATTCTTTGTTTTTGCGCACTGCCACAACGCGGAACTATTATGCAATGAATATAACCAGTGAATGAGTGTGTGTTTGTGTGTGTGTGTGCCTCAAGTGCAAAACCCCAGACACGAGACACGACAGACAGCAGACAGACAGCAGACAGACAGACGATGAAAATGCCATCGTCAGGCACAAGAAGAACTTTGGAATCCGCGTGCAGTACGCTGATCATCGCACTGCTGGCGTTCTTAATGAGTGTATCCTGTACGGGGGGCGCCCGCGATCATCGGCGGCAGACGAATCTGGAGGCAAAAGTGGGCTCCCACGTGGTCTTCAGCTGCTACATCGATTTCCCATTCGACTCCCCCATTCCGTATGTTGTGCACTGGAGCAAGGATGTAAGTCGCCCTTCCCCACACATTCGTTCACTCGTTCACTCACTCACTCACTTATTCATGGCTCACGCCAACGCGCACGCAATTCTTAAATGAAATTGTCGAAATTATTAATTTATCAGACACGTAGGTGGCCTGGACTGGCCGCCACACGGCCGGCCACTCGGCCACTCCGCCAGTGTGACTGACACTCCAACAGAATGACCGACGAATGACCAACCCGTGTGGGTGGGTGTGGGGGTGGGGGTGGTTTTGCCAGCCAGTAGGCATATGTATGCTTGGTTAGCCTTAATTGCGTCTGATGCTGCTACTGCTACTGCTGCTGGATGCTGGGATGCTGCATGCAGCAGCAGATACTGGTCCGGGGGCACAGCGTGAAACGAGACTCTCACATTCATTAAAAGGGCTACGCGACCCCGGACTTTATGGTCGTCGCACTGGGAGAAACGCGGAAGCGCCAGCCAACAGAGAGAGAAGAAAATATTTGGGTGGGTCGGGTGGTCGGGATTTTCTGCCAGTGCGGCAGCAGCAGCAGCACTACCAGCGATTGCATCACGTTAAATGCACACACAGAAGGCTGTGAGAGAGGCCGAGGGTACCGTGCACCGTCCCCTTGGCTACTAATTAAAGCGCAACCACATGCAGTCGATCGAGGCTGCATCCTGGCATCCAGGCGACCTGGCATTCAGGCATCCTGGCATCCAGGCATCCAGGCATCCTGCCTCCTGTCCTATGTCCTTCCTTCCTTCCTGCCTTCCGCTACGCGGCATTTAAATTTCATTTGAAGCGAAAAACTGATTTCAGTATCACAAACACTTTAAATTACCAACATCATCGGGCATCGGGCAACGGGCATGGCGTGAGAAAACAAAGCAAAAAAATACACAAAAAAAAACCAGCAGAAAAAAAAAGAACAGGGAGAGTGTCAGCGTGAAGTGTGACATCAAAGACACACGGGCCACAGATAGGGGCTAGGGGCACGGGCACGGGGCATGGAGAGGTGGGGCGGGGTGGGGGCAAAGATCCAGAGGCAGAGTTGAAATCAATTTCAATTGGATTCAATCGAATTGAATGGCTGGCATTTTGTTGACAACTGTGAGTAATGCAATTTAATTCAATTGCAAATTCATTGCAGCAAACGAAATCCTCGCAGGCACACCAGACCAGACCATGCCAGACCATGCCAGACAGTCCGTCATTCAGTCAGTCAATCCGTCAGTTAAATATGCGCGCGTTTGTATTTAAATCAAAGTGAATTACCATTCATCGCACACGCTCGTCATCAGATCCACCCCCGCCCCCGCCCCCCACGCCACAACAGTACCCATCCACCCTTAATTGAGGGGCGTGGGGCTGTTGTGCCGCTTATGTTTTTAACTATTTAGCCAGCTGCTTGCTTAATTTGTCTTTTTCCCCCCTCTCTCTCTCAGTATGTGGCTTTGTTTTTGTGTTTTTGTGTTTTTGTGTGGCATCCGCATTGTATTGTATTAATGCAGAAAATTCCACTCGGTCAGCGGGTCATGATGTCATTTTGATAGATTCACTTTAATTGCGCTTCAAATTCTGTGTATCTGGGATCTGTATCTGGGATCTGAATCTGTAACTCAGCGGAAGGGAAAGATACTTGTATTTCGTAGGCATTGTAATTAAACAAAATCGTAGACAAGGTTAAAGTCCCACACAGCACAAATATGCATAATCCATGAGGATTGTCTATGAGAGAGCTCTGTCCCGCTGTCCCGTCGAGAGTGGGAGAGAGCGAGACTTTCACGGCCGTCGCGAGGCCGTTTTGCACAATTTTCGCGCACGTTGTCCACAAACAAAAAATTACCGGATAAATCAAGTTACGTTTGTAATTTGTTGGATAATGCTGATAAATGTGTGTTTGCGGCAGACCAGACAGTAGCCAGCAGCCAGCAGCCAGTAGCCAGCAGCCAACAGCCACCCGACGTCACTTGACACACAGTTGGGTGTACATAATCGGATGGTATTAGGCATAGGATGATGAGATTGAGTGCGCCGTGGAATGGGGGCTCTCTTGAGTGCATCGCATAATGCATCACAAGGCGGCATCGCATTCTCACAGTCTGGTTGGAATGGAGGCATAGATGGATGAATAGATGGTTGGTGTGTGACATTGATGCCCACTTCGGTCACAGCAAAACCAACGACTGCGCTGCCCTGCACTGCGCTGTGGCTGTGGCTGTTGTTGTGCGCATCTTGATGACTATTTCCCGATCTCAATTAAAGCACAAAGCGAATGTCAATAGATCAACTAACACCACCAGAGTCATAAGTCATAAGCGCTGGAGCACACAATTAAACGTATCCCATTGCAGCATCAGCATCAGCAGCAGCAGCTGCTTGGCACTGCCACTTTTGCGGTCGCCGGCTATCAATAACCGAGCGAACTAAATCCGTAGCATGCGGTTTTTCCTAGAGTCCCCATTCAATGGTGTGTGTGTGTGTGTGTGCCCCAAGCCACCCAAGCCACCCACTAAAACCCACCAATCCACCGATAAATGGCTTGGAATGGCATGGATAAAAAGTCAAGTGCACAAACAAACACAAAACGAGCATAAAAATGCCTGCGTTTGTTTAATGCCAAAGCAATTAGAGAGGATGCAACCGCAGCCGCGATGCCGATGCCGAAGCCCCTGCCCCTACCGCGTCACTGCCACTGCCACCACCACTGGCGATTCAATTGCATTTAAATAATTTAAGTTTAACGCGTGTTGCCGCAGCATTTTGTTTCGCCTCCGTGCCTCCGTCCACATGATGCAACACAAACAACAAATAACGAACGACGCTGTTTACTCTTTGGCGATTATTAAAATGGTTTTTTTCCCCTCTTTTTGGTTTTTTGCCTATGCAGCAGATATAATTTGCCAGGCCATATATTTAACAAATATTGACAAATATATTCAGCATTAATTAAAACAGAAATAATTTAATGTGCGCCGCCGCCATCGAACTGAATTATGGCAACAATCTATTGCTGGCCTCAGATGTTGGTAAATGCCGCCCCAAGTGGGCCTCAGATGTGCAGCAGCTATCCTTGTTTTGGGGAACAGTACAACGTACAGGGTGCACACCCTTTAACTGGCGGTGGCATTGGTGGCACTTCAAGTGCGCCGCGTGCGCCATGGGAGTCCATTTAAATTTGTCAACAAAGTAGCGGCTCCTCCCCCCAAATGCTCGTCTTTGGTTATTGTTACTCTTGGGGCATGAATAAGCGGGGGCCTTGGCCCACCGCTGTGCCACGTCACATCACAGTCACACAGCTGCAGTGGCAATGGTAGTGGGCATAGAAAGGAGGCACAGGCTCAGCGGGAGCTTGCGAAAATTATAATGGTGCATAGAGAGAGAGAGACAGAGAAACAATGCCACACACGCACACAGCTAGGGCTGTGTATCTGCGTGTCTGACAAATGGATTTACTGCATTTGCATTCTACAATCTCAGACAGGGGAACGAAGCGCCCTCCTTCCAATCTTAATCACAAATCAAACAAAAATATATTAAATTTTAAGAGAGTTCAAAAAATAAATAAAATAAAGTAAGGTTCTAAAAATAAAAGCAAAAATATGAGCAAACTTTGCATAAGCAAAAGCAAAGGTGGGTTGGTAACCCAAAATGGAAATACTCTGCGATTCGTATACAAATTTGTGTACTTAAATGTACAGGAAATATTGAGAGTTCATTTTGCAAGTTATCAGTATTTTCCAGTATTTGTTTAGGTGGTTGAAATGCCCAGTGTAAATGCCCAGCTACAAAAACATTCGAATTATTTTTTTACAGAACAAGAAGATCTTCACGTGGTTCGAGAAGGAGACGTCCACGAACGAGCTCTTCAATGGGCGTCTGCACCTCGTCGAAGAGCATCCGGAGTACGGCAGAGCATCCGTGAACCTAACGGCCATACGGGAATCGGACCAGGGCTGGTACCACTGCCAGGTAATCTTTCCCAATCGCTCGCCCAGCATCCGCAACAATGGCACGCGCTACCACCTGACGGTGCAGGGCGGCTCCCTCATCCGCATTCCCCCCGTGAATCAGACCATCCAGGAGGGGCAGACGGCCTTCTTCCACTGCGTCATGAAGTACCAGGACAACTCGCAGGCGGCCTGGTACAAGGATGGGGTGCTGCTGCAGGAGGTGCAGGATCTGGTGCGGCGCTCCTTCATGGGCCCCGATGGCAGCCTCAGCATCGATCCCACGATGATGAGCGACCTGGGGGAGTACGAGTGCAAGGTGCGCAACAACGAGGGCGAACTGCAGACGGCCAAGGCCTTTCTCAATATACAATGTGAGTAGAGAGACATCAGGGTAAACTTCTCTGATGGCGTTGCTCACTGGGGGGGAAGCCTAGAGTCCAGAGCCTAGACGTATCTATTTTATGGACTATCTTCCCCTTTTGATACCCGAAACAGATAAGGCCAAGGTGATTTATGCCCCGCCCGAAGTGTATCTGCCGTACGGCCAGCCGGCGGTGCTCGACTGCCACTTCAGGGCCAATCCGCCGCTGAAGAACCTGCGCTGGGAGAAGGACGGCCTCCTGTTCGACTCGTACAATGTGCCCGGCGTTTTCTACAAGATGAATGGCAGCCTCTTCTTCGCCAAGGTGGACGAGAACCATGCGGGCAGCTACACGTGCACACCCTACAACGACCTCGGCACGGACGGGCCCTCGCCCATCATTAGTGTAATTGTGCTGCGACCGCCCATTTTCAGCGTCACCCCCAAGGCCATTTACATACAGAAGCTGGGCGAGGCGGCCGACCTGCCCTGCGAAGCCATCGACCGGGACGGAAACAATCGGCCCTCTATTGTCTGGAGTCGGGTGAGTGGAGAGAGTGAGAGAGAGAGGGGGAGCGCGCTCCAGTGTCCACTGCTTCCATTTCCATTGCCTAAAATGGCAGAGAATGGAATACTGGACAGTGGACACTGTGGACACTGTGGACACTGTGGAGTCTGGCTGCAGTTTTGCTTGATTGCATTTTTAATTATGCATGGTGGAGCGGAGCACCTGCTCCATGGCTCTACCTCTACCTGTGCCTGTGTCTGTGTCTGTGCCTGTGCTTATTGTGGATTTTCCCATGCAGAAAGACGGGCAGCCTTTGCCGCCGGAGCGGCACAGCCTCAGTGGCGGGAATCTCACAATCACGAACCTAATCGAATCGGACCGCGGCATGTACGAGTGCTCGGCGACCAATGAAGCGGCTACCATAACGACGGAGGCCGAATTAATGATTGAGAACATTGCCCCCCGGCCGCCGTACAACCTCACGGCCAACAGCACGGAGACCTGCATCACCATACGCTGGCAGCCAGGTGAGAGATTACAGCACTCGATACTCGCAATGCGGCAGAGGGGGGTCTAATGGATGCAGTTGCAGGATACCTGCGGCCCAACCTCGAGTACACGGTGTGGTACCGTCTCACGGAGGCTCCCGAGTGGCGGACGATGCGAGTGGTGGACAAGAACGTGATGGAGGCGACCATCCAGCACCTGGTGCCCGGCAAGGAGTACGAGTTCATGGTCCTCAGCCAGGACAAATACGGCGACGGAATGTTCAGCAAGCAGTTCCGCTTCCAGACCCAACGTGAGCCCAGCCCAGTCCCAGTCTGAGGGAGTGTCCCTCAGGATGGGGAGTAATGCCTAACGCCATTCTGCCTTCTCTTGCAGCATCTCCTATTCGAGCGGAGGATTTCGATGCCCAGCAAGAGCAGAACGAACTCGGCCAGCTGCCCACCTTCAGCGGGGGGATGGGGGCGCCGACGAACCTCAGCGCCATTAACAACCAGCAGGGCTGGCTGCTCCACTGGGAGCACCCGACGCAGGGACTCGAGGGCCTGCGGCTGTACACGGTGCGGTGGTGGAAGGAGCCGGAGCACTACCTCATCGGCCAGGCGGAGACATTCGACAACTTCTACCAGCTGCGGCACCTGAAGGAGGACACCACCTTCAAGGTGCAGGTGGTGGCGGTGGGCGCCAACAGCCAGCAGCAGGTGCCCAGCCCCGAGCTGCTCATCGATGTGCCATCGCAGCGCAAGATGCGGGCCCTGATCATCGGCTCGTCCGTCGGAATTCTCTTTCTACTCTGCGCTCTGTGCGCTTTTTTATACGTGAAAAGGAGCTGCCTGCGGCACCTGTTTGCCCGGGACAGCGAGGGGGCACCCTGCGATGAGGACACTGCCGAGAGCGGGGACTGCGACAGCGACGAGCAGGACAGCGTCAAGATCCGCCAATCCTCCTGAATGCTACAGATCCGCTGGCGCTTCGATGCGACTGCCAGCGAGGGTTCCCCTGCCACCCAGCCACTCTGATTGCCAGTTGCCGTTGCCGTTGCCCCCAATAATCCATTACCCCATAAAATACTGACTTTTTAATTTATGTCTAGCTGCTACCTGTACTATAAATTCTACTAATTGTAAATGCGGTTCAAATCCGAGCCGAAATTCGAAATAAAATAACTAAAATCAACAAATTAAATTAAATTAAATTTCAAATTGCCCGCCCGATGGGTAGCACTTTTGCAGCACCATCTAGCTATCCCTCTCTGGCGCGTGCAAGCAGGACAAGAGTATGCACGCACGAAAGCTCATTTCAGTTTGAAGAGCTTTCCACAGCTCAAAGTTTGGTGGGAGAACATAATGCTATATCGCTCTCTCTCTCTCGTGTTGCGTGGGCGAGTGAGCTTTCAACGTTGACAGTTTTCACCGTTACGTTACGGTTGGCTGCATTCAAAATTTAAACAGCCCTTTTGGGGTTCGCTTAGGACAGCTGTCCTCAAACTCCAGCACTCCAGCACTCCAGCGGACACGCGACTCGCAAGCCAAGTGCGTCACATCGTTAAATGGCCAATTAACCAGCTCGTATCCGATATGGCCGCATCCGATATGGCGTTCGTTGAGTGGGCATCCGTAAGTGCAGCCCGAACGGTTGGCACGGGAGGGAAAAACACCTGGAATGCACCCAGAAGTACTTGCATCGCACTTGGATCCCATTAAGACTTTCCGTGCGGTTCAATTGATGTAACCCGCGTAATTTCGCTGCCGCTGAAGCCGGCAACTGATTTGCACTCGCAACGCTTTGATGCATTGCCCCCCTGAGATGACCCAATTTACAGAACGGAGTGGGGGGGTCGTGTGGCACGAACTACAATTGGCACCTGAAACGAAACGAAACGACACGAAAGCGAGTCAACCACCTCGAGATAATACTCGATGACACACACATCGGCCCTAATGAGGCCTCTGAAATGATATCGGCGGTTCTGCATCGCCCGCCTCTGCCTCTGCCACTGCCACTGCCTATCGTCCATTGACTGTCGCACAAATTTGGAATCAAATCGAATTTGCGCAGAGTTAAAAAAGCAAAAAACAAAAACAATTGCAATAATAAGGAAGGCAAAAATCATTAAACAAAAATCGTAAAACAATAAGTAAGTACACAGGCACTGACGCTGCCGCTGGCGCTGATATGAGTGTAAATTATTTAGTTGCTTGTATTATATTAAGGTCATTGCGATTAGACGATTAGTCCCCTGCACTGCGCATTTCCACGGAGGAGGGGAGGGGAGCGGAGCAGGAGGAGTAAAACACAGCACAAGCTCACGTTCCGACTTGAGCTTTGTTCTCCGGCAAGTCCAAGCGAACGAGGGAACGGGGGAACGGGGGAACGAACGGATTGCAAAAGTTGAATGGCGAAAGAGCCCGTTTTTTGGGGTGAGGGATTTCTGGGGTGGATGTGGGGGTGGGGGTGGGGCATATTGCTCACTCGCAGATATTACAGCTCCTCCGGCTGCTGCTCAGAAATCACAATTGCTTTGTGCTTTGTTCTGTGTGATCGTGTCGGTTCAAAGGTCACAATTGTTCCAGGCGGGAATGAAAATGAGCAGAAATGCGATTACTCCTCCGCCCATCAACCACTATCCCTGGCCCGCTCTCTCTCTCTCTCACTCTCTCTCACTCTTTAGATTTAATAATTCCAAGGAAATCTGCTAGCTGCAGCAGCAGGGGGGAGTGGGAGTGGTAGTTGGACTGTGGCGACTCCCAAGTGCATTTGGACTCACAAGCTGCTGCTGCATATTGTCCACGGGGCTGGCTGCTTTGTCTGTTTACAGTCAGCTGTTTGACACACCAATGCACATACCTCTCATGCGCAGCTACCGCACACACACACACATACACACTGAAAACACACTCTCAGAGAGCTATAGGCAGAGCAAGTAATTTGTATGGCAACATTACAATTCAACGCTAGACAAAGACAAAGAGAGAGAGAGAACGTGCGACGACGATGACTTCCCCATTGACGAAACCCAAGTAGTATCGTATCCGCTCTATTCCGCACACACAAATACTCGCAGACACACATACTCCCAGAGAGCGAGAGAGAACCGAACCCACAAACTGCTTCTCACTCAGCTGCTGTTTCTGGTGCTGCTTCTGCTGGTGCTGCTGGTGCTGCTGCTGCTGTTGGTTGGGGTCGTTTTCGTCTCGTAGCCAAACCAGCAGCTCCCGCATTTCACAGTTCTTCGTCGTTCGCGTTGGTTGTTGTCTCTCACATTTGGGGCGGATCGGCCGTTCGCTGTGGAAAAAACACGTTTCATACCACCTTGGAGCCATTCGGGGCTCAGCTGTATTACAGAACCCTCCCGCCTGGCCCCCTCCTGAGAATAAAAGACAACAAACATAAACGTAGCCGAGAAATTGTTTGTTGTGCTGGTGCTGGCTCCTTTCGAGGCGCATGAAAATATCAGTCGGACGTTGTTTGTTTGAGAGAATTTAAAATACTTATAAGTCGGGCGATCGAGTGCTCCTCAAGCCACGAAGAGAGACGGGCAACGTAATAAATATCTCTGGCAGTGGCCAAAAAATAAATATATATGTATATAATGCTAATAAAACCGAAAACACGTTTTCCGCTGTGCCTGTGCCTGCGCCTGTGCCCCTGCTGCTGCCGCTGATGCTCGCGGAAAAAACATTCGCCATCATCCCAAAGGTGAGGCCATCGGGCACATCCAGAATTACATTTAAATTCGAATAGAAATTGAAGTGCGAGTGCGAGTGCGTTGTGCGTGGTGCGTGTTGCGGAAATTGCGTCGTCAGTGGTGAATGAATGAATATATTCATACGAAACCGAATACGAATGTTACACTCATTCTAGCTTAGGTCTAGCTTCCGCTCTTCCACACCGAACCCTCAAAACTCAAAACTCTGAAGGTTCTTTCTGGCAGTCGCAGTTCCCCGACCCGTCAAAGCCAACCACCGAAAAACTCTGAAAACTCTGTGAAGAGAGGCGGTAAATAATAGCACGCCGTTTACGTTAGCAGTCGTACCGCTTCCCATTCCACACGCCCCCACCCCCGCGCACTACGTGGAAAAGTCATATGTATCTTTTAATGTTTTCCTGCTGCCTGCTGCCTCTATCTTTATCTTTATCTGGCGAGAGCGCGTGCGCTCTCTCTTGCCCTCGCAGCACTCCACCACCATTCCCCTCCCGCCCACAGAGGCCTCGTGCCGTGCTGCGAATCGCAATCTTCTCTCTGGCGATGAATGTTTTTATTTCCAAAAAAAAAACAAAAAACAAAAAAAAAACCATGTTTCCATTGCCCGCCATTTGTTAGTACACTAATAAAAGCAAAGCGGGTCGAGTGACTCTTTCGGAATGGAGCAAAGTGGAGCATCCGAAAGATAGGTCACAGCAGCGGCAGCAGCTAGCAGCAGATTCTTCGACTGGCCTGGCAGACATGACCTACATCGATTGGCGTTAGGGTAGGACCTCTTCACGTAGGTCATCCACCCACCCCGCACCCCATCAACAATTCACACTCCCCACTCCACGTTTTTTTGAAGTTTTCTGGAAATTCTTAAATCCCGAAAAAAATTCCCCAAAACCCGTCAGTCCATCAGTCCCTCCTTCCGCTGATTCCGTTGATTGCCCGATTAGACAATTTTTTGCAGCTGTGCGGCGTGGCCTGAGCAAAGTGCCGCCGCCTTTCGCCGATAAGCCGACGCCTTCATCCGTCGACAGATGGTAACAAATCGAAACCCCGCTCCGCTCCGCCCTGCCCTGCCTGCCCTGCCCCTACTCGCATGTCTCGCATATAAAGCAATAATTGGCAGATTAGTTGGCCCTTACATCGCCGATTAGCGCAGAAGGAAACCAAAGCGGCAGAATGGCAGTGGCAGTGGCAGTAGCAGCAGGAAGCCTATCGGCCCACGCATCTAATCGCAGCCAATCGAGCGGCAAACAAAAATCTGTAATAAATCCCCGTACTACACGCTCGTGCAAAGTGCTCGCAGGGCAGAGAGCGCTGCTTGTACGCTGCTGAATACTCATCGTTAGCCGTTGGAAATCTTATCAGACCACAGGCCGGCCACTGGCCACCTGCACCACAGCCCCACAGCACCACAATCCTCCTCCGCTTTTGCGCTGCTCACTTGGGTGCAGGTAAACCGAGCTCACAGCTTTGGCTGGTCATGTGGCCCGTTTCAGTTTCCAGTGCTGTACTTGTACCTTGCAACGCCCCACAGTTACAGCTGTTCTAGCAGCTGATATGCCCCCAGGGGCAGGGACAGGGACAGGGGCAGTGGCAGGGACAGGCAGAAGAATGTACTCAATGACTGACATTGAATTTATCGCCTATCGTTTACATGTTGGTGTCTGCTCTCTGGCGGCTGCTTCTTCTGCTGCCCATTGTGTGGCAATTAGAGATATGTATGTATGTATGTATGTATGTATGTATATGCTGAATGCTGACTGTACAAGTACCCAAAGTACTCATTGTAAGAGACCTCCATCCAGCGCCAGTGTCCCCCAATTGTGATGTAATAATCGTACGCTCGAGTCTGAAGATTGAATGGCCCTCTGCCCTGCCTGGGCTCGGGTGTATGCTCAATCAATCAACGCAAATTATGTGCCACAGAGATCAGCGATACAGCGACAGAGGTTACTACAATAGTTTCCCTTTCTTTACAGCTGCCGCAGCGCCACAGCCTGAGACCCACAGCGAGCCCGAGATCTGTTCTCTATGCGTAGTACTTCCAAAGCAGATGCCAATTCCGAGCAACAAATGTGATGCGTGAATAGAGGGCAGGATAGTCCCCGGAGAGTCACAAACCCAAAAGAAACCAATACTGGAATCACAAATCAACGAACGAAGGAAAGATTAAGCCAAATGCTGACGCAACCGAATGCCAATTACAGTTGCACGAACTGAACGGATACTCAACACTGAAACACACACACACCACACAATGGATGACCTGCAGGCGTCCAGTGTGCCCCTGGTGGACAAATGCTCCTCCACAAAGGCAGTCATACTGCCAGCTACAGCAACAGCAATGACAGTCACAAGCACAGACATCACAGCAACAGCAGCAGCAACAGCAGCAACAGCAGCAACACAGCCAAATGCCGTGCTCTATAAGAGCAGCAACAACAGCGCGACGCTGTCAACGCTCTCCCTGAGCCCCACAACTAATCCCAATCCCAATCTTAATCCCAATACCACTCTGAGGGCAGAACCCGTGCCCCTCCTGAAGCCGCTGCAGGGCCTGCCACTGCAGAAGATGACCAACGACCTGAAGCAGTGCAATACCAATGCGAACCATGGGTGAGTCCTCTCCTGAGTATTTCCTTTTCTAATGGCATTATCTGGGATTATGCTTGTGTCCCCCAAGGATTATGAATGGCAATGAATGGGGGAGGACACTCAATCTCCTCCTCTCTCTGCAGAATGGGGGGTACAGTAGGAGGATGTGTTATCCACCTAATCACATAGCCACAGGTCATTTATAACGCCTCCACACCCACCCCACCCCACTGTCCATCCCAATAACAAATCAGAGGACAGGAAACAATGATCCTTAAGGGGGAGAGAGCAGCAACTGGAGCTATATTTATGGGACACGACTCAAAATTAGCTTCGACTGGAACTGGAACTGGGGACATTCCGTAATATCCGTAGCTGCCACGCGCCCACGCGACAGGCAACAGACACGCCATCAAGGTGCGCCGCGAAGAGAGAAGGAAGCGCCACAAAAATCGATGGGCTCCTCCTCGACATCGGACATCGGACATCCGACATCTGACATCCTTCTCTGTGGCTCCACAAAAATGGCGTGTCGGCAAGGAAATGTTAATGGAAATGGTGCCAACCACGCCCCCCATACCACCCACAAAAGTAGAGCGCTGCCACCGAGTATTATGCACAAATGTGGAAGTTCATTTAAAAATTCATTCCTTAGATTTGAGCTCTGGCTGTGGCTCAAGTGGGTGGGGGCTGGTTGTGGGAGTATTCTTCAGAATTCAGTCGAGCAGGTGGCAAGCAGGCTTCAAGCAGGCGGTCTGGGAGCTGCACGAGCTGCAGCCTTGAACTGTCATCGCACAGAAGCAGAAGCGTAATTAAAATGCTAATAGGAGATCTAATGGAAAATGCACACACAGCCATAGCCACAGACACAGCCACGTTCCCCTCTCCCACGTGGAAATCAATGTAGCGCACAATGTAATTAAAATGGAAGGTCAATGTGTGCCCAGTCCTGTATGCAGGACACGGCAGCAGCCTCCCGTCCACATGTGCGGCACAATCGGAGCAATCAAGCGGCCAGGGAGAACCACAGAGCGAAAAGGCTTTAAATGCTCAAACGGCCCAGTGCCCCGCCCCGCTCCGCCCCTTGCTTGTTGTGCCACATAAATAATATGCCACAAACAAATGCACAAATGTAGCCACACACAGTGGCAGGAGCGAGGGGAGAGGGCATGTGGCAGCATCAGTGGCAGCAGTGAATGAAATGCCGCCAAAGAGCAAAAGCCAGAGACAAAGGGGTCCTCGGATGTGCTCTGAAACGCCGAACAAAGGAATACTCTTTACAGCTGCTATTCTCGAAGGGTTTTCTCCCTATTCTCCCTATTCCCCTCTGCCCTCTCTCATGGAGTTTTTCTCCATTAAACTCCCTCGTCTGCTGCCACATTTCCCAAGCTTCTGCCTATAGGAAAATAACTCCTTCCGGCTGTTAGGGCAAGTGGAAAACACAAACAGAAGAAGAACGGACCTCGCGGCGCCGCGTGCCTTTGGGGCTGGTGGAAAAATCGAACAAGCCGCCCTGCCACGCCATGCCAGGCCATGCCACGACAGCCTTCTGTCCAAAGTTGTGCCGTAGTCTGCAGTCGGACTCCGTGCGGCATTTAGTTCTGTGGCAACTTGCCTCTGTGTGAGGCGCCGTCTGTCTCCGATTTTCGCTTTAAATATTGATAGAAATATTAGACAAAAAATGCTCCCCCAATAAGTGGAGCAGGTGGACTAGGGGGAGGTGTGGTGCGGTGGAGTCGCGTTTCCGCAGTCGTTTTTTACGTGTGTGCAACTTTTTGTTTTTATTTTTCGTGTGTTCTTTTGGCAAGTGGCAAGAACCGGTGCCCCGCCACGAGTTATGTAATGTGAAGTTGCGGCAAAAAAAAAAACCCAAAGGGGGCGAGCGCTGGGAACGGTGTGTGCCAAGTGGAACTGTGCGGCAGTCAGACTGTGGGACGCCTTGCAACCTGTAAATAAACTCGAGGCAAGCCCTGACTGACCTTCTCCTACGCTTCGAGGGCAACGGAAAGCCGTCCTGCCGCAGGTCTAGAAGAACCGCCCACATACATTCGTTTGCATATTCGATTGACCTTCTCCTCGAGAGTATCCTTTATGGTTGTGCACAGTCACGAGTGTCCTTTATAGCTACATATCTGCGGAACCAATTGCCGCTCATTCTGCTGCCCCCCGCACGTGGACAGACAGACATCAGCTCTCGGTTCTCTCGGTACCCCATTCGGGGGGATTAATGCTTTTATTAGCCGCAATGAATGCGTTGACTCTCGTTGATTAACCGCTGCTACAGAGCTGTGGCACACAGCCTGTTCCGGCGCTATCTCTGTCTTCCCTGTGTTTGGTGTGTGGTGTGTGGTATGTGTGGTGTATGGTGTGTGGCATTTATGAGCTGTTTAATTGTCGTTTAGCGATGGATGATCTAATCCCACAGTCGAGTGCTGATATTTCCGGTTGGCGACTTTAATCAGAGCGCGGAAAAAACAATGTAACTTCACCCCATTCTGCCTTTTACTCGCATGGTATCAAGGTTCAGACGGGACTCATGTAAACTGCAGCAGCAGTTGTTTTGCGGACGCTACTCTAGCAGCAATCAATCAATTAAAATAGGGGGCAAACAATCGATGTTGCAATTACCGTGCATTAAGATTGATAATTCGAGTTCGTGTGCGTGTTCGTGTTCGTGTACGATAGATAGTTCCCCAGTTCCCCCTTTATCTGGTTCTCGTGTTGCGTGACTTTCTTGAGTTTGAGCCAATTGAGCGGCTTAATTGCAGGGAAGGACTCTGAACTGTGACCTGTGGGTGCACTGGTGCATATTGGTGGTGCATGCACCTTTGTCTCACTGTCTCACTGTGCCTGTCTCTGGAAGTTGCTTTCAATGCAACCCCCCCAGGGGTGTTCTTCTGCGTTCGACTCGTTTCAAGTCTCTTTCTTTCTTTTTTTATTTATTTCTTTATTCTGTGAGTGCAAGTGCAAGTATCGCGTGCATTTCGCAAGCCAAAGACCAGCCAACGCCGCTCCCCGTTCCGCCTCTCCCTTTCGTTTCTCAGCTTCGTTTCTTCGTTCTTCATTCTTCGTTCAGTTTTCAGCTGCTCTGCTCAGCTCGTTCGTTCGTTCGTTCGTTCGTTCGTTTGGGTTCGTTCACTGTTGAATCGGCTCACACGAATGTGAGTGCAAGCGAGTGCATGCGCACCTAAAATGTACCCAACTGTTGGGTGCACGAGCACCGAGATATTCGCGGGAAACGATTCGCAATACTCAAAGATAAACGCACAAACACACACACACACACACAGACACAGTTGCCGCTACAGTTACAGCAGAAGTTGCTTCGGCTTGGGCTTCGTAAATGGGGGAATGGGGGAATGGGAAATGGCGGAATAGGAGGAATGGGGCACAGCAGCAGCAGCAGCAGCAGGCACTGACAGAGAGGGGAGTGGTGTGGGGTCTTCATATTTATCGCATTTCGAAAGAGGCCAAAAAGCTAAAACCAAACAAAGCAAAACAACAACAAAACAATCCCCACCAAAAGATAAATATTCAAATGCGAAGCAAAAGATACACTCACCACATTCCATGTACAATGCACAGGGGCCCATCCAATTGCAATTAAAATTGGAACAGAAGTTGCAATGTTTTCTTGGGATTCGATCTGGAAAAAGAAGTGAAGGTGTTCTTTAGGGATCCACACTGGCAGATGTACAATATGGCAATATGCTGCGTGCATACTGATCAGTAAATAAATCGTATATCCCCGAAACGGAAAGAGTATTAACCATTTGCCCAAGCACAGTGCACAGAGCACTGAGCACTGAGCAGCACCATGACGATGAAATTTTTGTTTATTATTTATTGGTAGTGGTAGTGGCAGTGCATATCCCCCCCACCCCCTATATCCGTAGCTGTATTCGACACTGTATCTGTAGCTGTATTCAGTTAGCAGAGAGAGGCCGCGCATGGCTCACAGCCAAAACAGCTGATTGGGAAACCCCTTCCCTCACCATCCACCCCGGCCGATCCACCCGTTTTGCATTTCAATTTAAATGCCTCACTCGACTCGACTCGAATCGAGTCGACTCCGCTTACGGCAACGAAATTAGAGATAAATTTCTGGGATGCCATTCCCCCAGTAATGTGCCCCGCGTGCTGCCCGCTGGATTGCCGCACTGACTTTGAAGTGCGTGCGTATCTGAGAGATACATACGTCTATTGTTCTTTGTACTCATTCCTCAGCTGCTCAGCTGATAAGCTAAGCTGCTATTTTCCAGATACAAATACAAACAGAATAACACACACACACACACTCGCACATCTCTCTGAGAGAATGTCTATCTATCTCTCTCTCTCTCTCTCTCTCTCTGCTGTAGTTGGGATCTACCTCAAATCCAATTTAACTATCAATCAATCAGTCATTCATTTAGCTATCAACGTAACAAATTTGCACCCGAAAGATATGTAATGTTAATTGGCATTGGCCAGCGGCCGTCGGGCCATCAGCCCCACTCGACTCGGAGAGCCCTCCCCACCCCTATCGCACCTCTTCTGTGGGCGTGGGGATGGGCGACATTTCATGAATGAAACCCACGCGAGAGGCGAACTTTGGCCTTTGCCAAAGTTGGTGGCTGGTTGGCTGGTGGGTGGCTGGGGTGTTTCCGTTTCCCCTTGTGGCTCGCCGCTAAATGTTGCTGATTGATCGATTGATTGCCCCCATTCAGGTCGTTAGCGAAGTTGCCAGCCACATCATGTGGCACTCACATATCTAAGGGAATAGACAGGGGCAAAAAAGCTACAGACAGACAGACATGAACATGGAAATGGCACTGACGCGCTGCAGCAGCGTGGATAGCGGCGGTGGTGGTGGCGGTGGCGGTGGCATACAGAATTCCAGCTTCGAGGCAAAGGCGGAGGAGGTGCAGCGTCGTAGGTCCGCCTATGTGGGGGCGTTCGAGGAGATGCAGCAGCAGCATAAGCAGCAGCAGCGCTCCATGTCCTTTGTGCAGACAAAACTCACGAAAAACGGCAGCTGTGTGAGCGCCCTGCAGCGGCCCGTGGACGGAGCCCCATGCTGGCTTAAGTAGGCGCCAAAAAGGGCCACAGAATGGAACCCCCCCCCACTAATCGCGGTTTATTCTTCTGCTTTAATTGTTTTCCAGGTCGCAGAGCAACCTGTGCAATGGCGTGGGCGTGGCTCTGGCCCCCAAGGTGCTGAACAATGGCAGCAACAGCTCCAACGGCCAGAAGAAGGGCACCATCACGCTCTCCCACCTGCCACAGCGGCCGCCCGTGGACATTGAGTTCTGTGATATATCCTACTCGGTGGCCGTCGGCCATCGCCGCGGCTGCAAGACCATCCTGAAGAGCGTCTCGGGCAAGTTCCGCAATGGAGAGATCACGGCCATCATGGGTCCCTCGGGGGCAGGCAAGAGTACGCTGATGAATATCCTGGCGGGCTACAAGTAAGTCTGAGATACATCCCCATCCCCAAGGTACACATTTATTAATGCTCTCTCTTTTGTGTCCTTCAAGGACTGCTCAGCTGTCTGGATCGGTGATGATCAACAGCAAGGAGCGGAACCTGCGCAGATTCCGCAAACTCTCCTGCTACATAATGCAGGACGATGTCCTGATCGCCAACCTGACGGTGAGCGAGGCCATGATGGTGGCCGCCAATCTGAAGCTCGGCAAGCACATGGTCTCCTACGCCAAGCGGGTGGTCGTGGAGGAGATCCTGGAGACCATCGGGCTCAAGGAGTCGGCGCACACGCTCACCTGCAACCTGTCGGGTGGGCAACGGAAGCGTCTCTCGATCGCCTTGGAGCTGGTCAACAATCCCCCGGTGATGTTCTTCGACGAGCCCACCTCCGGGCTGGACAGCTCCACCTGCTTCCAGCTGATCTCCCTGCTCCGATCGCTGGCCCGCGGCGGGCGCACCATCGTCTGCACCATCCACCAGCCGTCGGCGCGTCTCTTCGAGAAGTTCGACCATCTGTATCTGCTGGCCCAGGGGCAGTGCGTCTACGAGGGCCGCGTGCGTGGCCTGGTGCCGTATCTCTCGTCCCTGGGGTTCGTGTGCCCCTCGTACCACAATCCCGCGGACTACGTCCTGGAGGTGGCCTCCGGCGAGTACGGGGATGCGGTGCCGAAGCTCGTGGATGCCGTCAAGAGCGGCGCCTGCAAGAAGTACGCACACAAGGACTACTGCCTCACGCTCCTGCCCGCCAAGGCAGCGGCCGCGGTGAGTGCCACCCTCCACGTAGAGGACGAGAAGCCACTCCTCACAGCGGAGCCTCATCCTCTGGATGCTGATGCGGATGCGGAGGCGGAGACGGATGCCGATGCCGATGCGGTTCTGAAACCACCGAAGCTCGAGGCGCAACAGTCGCAGAACTCCGACTGCAGCGCCGTCATTCTTATGCCCGAAACCAACGAAGACAGCTGCAGCTTCAGCTCCTCCAAGGCAGGCGGCGCTGCCAGTAACACAGCTGGTGGCCCGACTAGTGGGGGCGTCGTGGGCTGCATGACCTCGCTGCTGGACTCGCACGAGAGTGTGGTGACCCTGCCGAACAAGACGGGTTTCCCCACCAGCGGCTGGATGCAGTTCTGGATCCTCCTGAAGCGCTCCTTCCGCACCATCATGCGGGATAAGATGCTGACGCACATGCGGCTCTTCTCGCACGTGATCGTGGGGGCCATCATCGGCATGATCTACTACGATGTGGGCAACGAGGCCTCCAAGATCATGAGCAATGCTGGCTGCATATTCTTCGTGTCTCTGTTCACCACCTTCACGGCCATGATGCCCACCATTCTGACATGTGAGTGCAGATCCTTTGGGATTTTCCAATGATTACGGAATGTATTTTATATTCTCATATTCCCAGTTCCCACTGAAATGTCCGTGTTCGTGCGGGAGCATCTCAATTACTGGTACTCCCTCAAGGCCTTCTACTTTGCCAAGACGATAGCGGACATGCCCTTTCAGGTGAGTCTTTTTAATCCCTGCTCCTGCGTTTCCGCTCCCCTAAAAGAACCCTCTCCCTTCCGTTCTCATCCGCAGATTGTCTTCTCCAGCGTCTACGTTCTGGTGGTGTACTACCTGACGTCCCAGCCGATGGAGTGGAACCGCGTGTCCATGTTCGTCCTGATCCAGGTGCTTAATTCGCTCGTGGCCCAGTCCCTGGGGCTGCTCATCGGCGCTGGGATGAACATCGAGACGGGTGTGTTCCTGGGGCCTGTCACCACCATACCCACGATACTGTTCTCCGGGTTCTTTGTCAACTTTGACACCATCCCGGGCTACCTGCAGTGGGTGACGTACGTCAGCTATGTGCGCTACGGCTTTGAGGGTAAGTGCCTCCACTCCTCCCAAGAGTCGCCCCTAATCGGTCGCCCTTCCGCTCTCCTTTCAGGCGCCATGGTGGCCATCTATGGCATGGATCGCGCCAAGCTGCAGTGCAACCAAATGTACTGCCACTATCGGATGCCCAAGAAGTTTCTCGAGGAGATGTCCATGGACAATGCCCACTTCTGGGTGGATGCCGTGGCCCTCACAGGGATATTCTTTGCCCTCCGCATCATCGCATACTTTGTGCTGAGATGGAAGCTGCACATGATCCGCTAAGCGGACCCGTAGCCCGTATCTATAGTTTATCTGTTAGATACTAGTGCCCCACGCCCCATCCCATCCCCCCAGGAGTATTTGTAAATAAGAGTAAAGTTCAGGGATCAAGGGATCATCGTAGATATTCAATTTATCTCCTCCCTTAAGGCTTTGTACGTTTATACACCCCACAGAAAATACAAACAGACTCACAGAAACATTTACCGCCAGAGCGTATTATACAACTACAACTACAAAACGGTTCTAATTATATATCTATAGACGAGACACCGATGGGTAGATAGATCCATAGATACATAGATAGTGTAGCTGTAGCTGTAGCTCTGCTCTGCTCTGATCTGCACACCAAAACATTCAGAATCAAACAGATAGGAAAACAAAACGGAATTTTAATTTACATAGAGACATAGGCGTAGATATAGATACTATATTCTACATACCGATCTATATATAGGCATGCCCACGTAGTGGTTCATCCCGTACACGTGCCGAGGGGTACGGGTACGGGTGCCCCCCTGTTTCCTCCTCCTGCATTGGCAGTAGAATATTCTTGTGACCAAAAGCTGAACAGAGTCTGAACTTAAAAGTAGATTGAAAGAAACCCCTCGTAGAAAGCCCCGCCATAGATACAGAAACAGATACTTTCAGAGCAGCATCCGAACCTTCTCCCAACGTTCTTCACTCCGTCCTTCCCTCCCCTATGTTGTTTTTTATACGTAGCTCTCCATCTGGGAACCACCTTTCGCTACTTTTAGAAACTAAGCTTTTGGCTTGGGGCTATCTTATCCCTTCAAGCGGACTCAAGGCACATACGGATACATCGCGTAATTCCCTTGTGATACAAAAGAGAGCAGTGCACCGCAGTGTGGGGCAAAGTTGCAGGGGGAGGGGGAGGGCACACGGGTGATATGCAGCAATTACTATAATTATTACGGGGCACCAGACGGGAGGAGGGGGAGGGTGGTGGAACCAGATCAGAATTTGTTGTACAGTTTACGGCGTATTTGTGATTATTACATTTTAATTTAGTAATTGTTTTTAGTTTAATTTTATACCGACTACATTTATCATGCCAAAATAAATGCAACTATCATTTGACCCGCTCTCCGCACTCTCTCCGCACTCTCTCCAGTGTCTCTTAGTCCCAAACCAATTTTTATGTTCTCTTTCGATCCAAAGTTATGCGGGGAAACCGTATCCGCTTTGGGGATTTCCTTTAATGACTCTACTGGTGTGATATTTGACGGGAAAACTGAACTTTGTATAAGCAGAAATCTGTGGCAACATATTCAGCCTCCTCTCAGAGGAGCGCATCTATATCATAACTCTCTATTAAGCAATTGTTTAATTAAGCCCTGTACATAAAGATATATACAGATGCATGTACATATGTGCATATGTATGTGTGTGGGTGTTTTCGCAGCTCGTAGCGCATGTTTATCTGTATGATATTATCAATTAATGTTCAACAACATACACTACGACACTAGCGTACCACAGTCCATTCAAGACCATCGATCCTGTAGATTTTTAAAAATAAAGAATCCAAAAATATCATCAAACATCTGTCGGAGGATTTTATTTAATAAACTTTTGCATTCAAAGGGCCAAGCCCCTCTAGTCGGCACCAACAAGAATTTCGGCACACATTTGAACTTGGCGCCTCTTCCTACAGCAGAATATCAGCCTCATAGTGGCTAGTTTTTGTCAGAGATCGATAACATATCAAACTAAAATGTTTCTTTAACTTGACTGTGCCCAGCAGCACAGAGCGTGCCAAGGGAATGCTATTTAACATTTGATTAAAGAGAGACAACTGGTGTTCCGATTTCCGGTTTGTATCTTAGCTTAAAAAAAATTAATATTACACTAGGGGCGCACTAACGAATAAATCTTCCAACAGATGGCCACTTTACATATGAGGAACCCAACAGGTGGCGCCATTTTTATGTTAATGCTAAATGTCCATGTTAATTCTATGTTAAAGAAGTTCGTTTTTCTGCCAACACTAAACAAAAATGAAAAGAATTTCTAATAAAAAAAAAAGAAGAAAAATTTCAAATAAAAAATAAGAAGATGAAAAACAACATCTAGCGGACTTGAATGAAGGATGTTTCAAATCCATCTGACAGCGCCGATATATTGTCTGCCTTGGAACTCGAGCAATATATGTATTCTATATCTACCTATTCGATCACAGAATATAAAAAAAAATAATTTTAAATTAGGGTTGGTGGAAACTTTTCAGTTTGGAACACAAATTAAATCGCTTCTTCAGCTCAACCTTACCGCTACTCGGAATCCAAGTCATATTTCACGTTGTTGGGATCGATTGCCATCCATCTTTATCCGCCCATATCCTTCAAACGTTTATTGCAGTGCACTCGCTCTCCGTCCTACCCCTGCCCCTGCCCCTGCCACTGCCACCATACCCTACGGCCCTCCCTCCATAAGAACGTTAGAATTTCCCCACGAAACACACTCGCATGTCGCTCCATGTATTCTAACATCAATATTGCAATGCCATTTGACATTTGTAACGCCAAACGGCAGCAAAAAACTAGCCGCGTGGGGCATATACGAGTATGTACACATGTATGTGTGTGTGTGTATATAGACGGGGGGGAATGGGGGAATGCGGTGGTTGCGATTGCGAATGTGCAAGTGGCTGGGGCAATGTTGCAATGTCACCGGTCAAACGGAGTGATTTTTATTGGCTTGTTGCTTTTTCGATTCACTGATAAATTGTTAATGTTCCCCAAACACACACACACACACACACACACATAGAGCAGTCAGACAAACACACACACACATACACACACACCAATAGAATGATGGTAACGTTACAAATGTATTATTTATGTGCCGCTAAGCTTTGTGCGCATAGATGAAGTGGGGCCAGAGTGTGGGGTGGTGGCAGCGCCCCATTCAAGGGGAGGCACTGCAGATGCGCCATAACGCTGGGCAGAGCCACAGAGCAGCGAGTCCGGAGCCCCCAAAGGCAAATGATAATATTTTCGGGTAAAAATATCAGACCAGCCGCCATGGAAAATTGCATTTTCCATACAAATACAAATGTGTGTGCATAGAAAATGGTTGCAGCATGCGGCATGCAGCATGGCGAGCACAACAGTATCTATAAATCAAACAAATCATTTGGATCTCTGGCAGAGGGCGTGGGGGGGACTGCAGCAGGACGAAGGATATAGAATGCTAAATATGTTTACTGCTCGGGTGCCCGGTGCCCCGGCAATTAATGCCCGCTGCCAAAATCGAGAGCCAACAAGCGCCAACGAGCAGTTCGCACTTTAATTAATTAGACATTCATTTGCAGCATGCCCCCGAGGCCTGTCTCTGGCTCTGTCTCTGCTTCACACTCAATCTCTATCCCTTTCTCTGTGTGTCCTCTGTGTGTCTGCCTCTCTCTCTCCCTCTCTCTCTCTCTTTGTGTGTTTGTCGATTTGTAATGTGGCATGCAGCGGCGGCACTCTGTACTGTACCCTCGGCGCCGGACAGCAGCAGCAGCAGCAGCAGCGCCAGCACCGGATGGCATCGGTGGCAGGCAGCAGGCATTATGCTTCGCAGGCGTAATAAATTAGCACAAACATGCCACTAAAATGGCACGCCCACCTGCCCCTAAAGGCTTCCTCCACTGAGCTCAGAGCCATGCCTCCTACTCCTCCCACTCTAAAATGCTGTCAATGCAGTTCAGATGCCAATGCAATTCCATTCTCAGCCCCCCTCTCCACAATCCATCCTCCCTCGCAGCCTGCACTCCACTCCACTCCGCTCGCATCTCGCATCCATTCCGTTGCTGCCCAACAGGCAACAGCACGTCTGGGATTTGGCTTGGGATTTGCGCACAATGTGTTTAGTGGCAGCAACACCAGTAACTGCAGCTCCAACTGCTGCATCGGCTCTTCCACCTGCCCTGCCCTGCCCTGCCACCCCACCCACTCCCTGCCGCAGTCTCTGAGACGCTGACGAGGACAAGTAAATCAAATGAAATGTATGCAATGCATAGCCAAGTGCGAGTATCTTGGCCTGCTTTTGCTGCTGCTGCTATATGCTCCTCGTGTTGCTCGGGGACTCGGGCACTCCCCTCCACTCCACTCCTCGGGTATTAATTGCAATTGCAACTTGAACTTTAAACAGCTGCAATGTCTGTGTGACACATGCAGGCAGAAGTAACTACGGCATACTCTTTCTTTCGAATAAGTTCCTTTAGGCTTATATTTTTAAGAGATTTATGAGGCAGGGCCCTTCGCTTGGATTGGCTGTCTGCCTTGGAATCCGGGCATAAGAAGCCTCGACTTGGTGTCGCTTGGGCCACTTCAGGGTACAATGAATGGACAAATGACGAAGCCTTAATCTAATAGTGTAGATGTTTAATTATTGGATCTATTTGCATCTCAAGCTTAGTGGAAACAACTAAAGATACTCTCCTCGGTGTACGGGTATACATGTTGCATATGTGGGGCAGTCTCTTTTTGAAAAGTATCTCCCGAATGGGGGATTACTATATGCCCTGCAGAAGTATCTCTGATTTGTGGCACTTTCACATGTCACTGCGAGATACGAATAGGGTCTTCCCTTTGCTGCTTGCTGTTTCCCCCATTCCATCGGAGTCGTCTCAAATTTCAGGCACCAGCTCCAGCTTCGGCTTCCCGGCTACAGTTTGCGCTCAAGTTTTTGTCGCTTTCGCCCGACTTCTCGCTGCATACGAAATTTATGGGTTTTATTGTGTGATTTATGCATCGCTCGCTGAATGACCAACGAATGGCCAACGCCGCACGCAACTTGCAACGCGAAACGCGCAACGTCGAGGCGACGCAGACGGAGGCGGACGGAAAAGAGCAGCGGAACGACTTTACGTTGCGGCGAGTGGAGATTTTTACGCCGGAAATGTGCCCATCGACTGCGTGTTAAGTCTCACACACACAGACACACTCACACATATACTGGGACATTCAGTGTGAGGGCATGGGTGTGGGGCAAGTTTTTTTATTGCCTTCGGTTTTTATTGCCGGAGAGTGCAACCGCCACATCCCCAACCGACGGACGACCAACGAACAACGACCGTGTTTTACTTATTTAATTCCTCCGCTCAACTTCTCGTGAGGGAACCATGTCCATGTCCGTGTTGTTGTCCGCGTCCTCGTCCTCGTCCGCCTGCTCGTAACGTGTCCATGTCGGAGTGTCCGGGGTCTCCGTGGTGTCGGTGTCTGGTGTCTGGCGGCACGGGCTTGTCCCGGTAATTGACAGCGGAAGGCGCACGTGTGTGAGGTCATTGATATGGAGTGGCGGGGTTCGCGCTAATGTGCCCCTGCATCTTGCGTGCATCTGCATTATGTGACCCACAGAAATGTGGCATGAACAATCGAGTCGGGAACGTGCCATAAATCGCAATCAGAGGGCAGCAGCTCCACTGCCACTGTCACTGCCTCGCCGATTACAGCGAGTGTCAATCAACATGCAACCGACGATTACGCATACATCCCGCCCTGACCTGACCTGCCCTGCCCTGTGTCTGAGGCAGATCTGAGGCAGATCGTGTGGCAAGATCCCCAGCCCTCTGCTTAGGAAGCTCTGCTTCCTGCCCCTTAGGCCTCCTTTTTTATTGCCTGCACTTCAACTTTGAGTTTAAAACGGGAAATAAAAGAAATTTATTGCACTTTGGCAATTATTGCAAACCAAAGCAATAACCGGACCCCATCCCAGGCCCCGCCTTTGGGGCAGGGCTCAGACTGGGGCACGGGCACGGAACCCATGTGCTTGACATTGCTTCGGGGCGAATGTTTCACGCCTCGCTAACTTGTTGGCCCCACTCTGGCACCCTCTGCCTCTGCCACCCCCCCTCACACACATTCACAGTCACCGAGTGACAGATGGAAAGCAGAGAAAGCATTGCTGGGGAGCTGGAGAGGAGAGCAGCCGCCTGGAGGCTCCACTGAAATTCCATTTTTATTGTGGCTCGACACTTAACTTTATTAATTTTCCAACCAATGACGAGTGCGTGTTGGGTGGGCACCCAGCCATCCCTGCACCCCACCCTCACGGCCATTGGGGTAATCCATTACCGCAGGTGCCGTAAAAATGCTTAGTTTACGATTTGCGATTAACGCGAAACAAGTGCCCCATAAAACTCACAGAGTCTCGTATCGGGCGCCGTGTTCCCTTTTGTTTTTATCCGGGAGAAGAGATCCATCCCTGCGCCTGCGACTCCGTGTGGCATTTGGCCCATTATTCGATTAATTTCAATAAAACGAATCGAAAATTTCAAGTGCCACTGGTGGACTGGCGGACTGGCGGACCCACCCCAAAGGGAGGCCACACACATAAAAATCCTTGTCGCAGCAACAAACTGCTTCGTGCTCCGAAAGTGACACTAAATCTCTCGCTCGTCCGTGGGCCTTTAATTAAAAGTTGCCACTCGATGGGGCAGGCAGTCAGAGACAAGTTTTACGACAGGTTTCTCTACCTTCGACAGGGCGGGAGGCGCCTCTCTGGGGAATCCTTATGCTGTTCTGTTGCGACTCCACCTTCGAGGGGGGGGCGACGCCCAGCCCAAAATTAGGCTGCCCGACAAATTATGCAAAAAGCATAAGTGCAAAAAGCGGCCCACTTAATCACTCAACTTCGTGTTTCCGCTGCTCCATCGCTGGCTCCATTGGCTGCTCCTCCACTGGGGAACGGAAGAGGCATCGTCGCAGCCAAAAGAAATTAAAGTGAAGTATGCTCCGCAGGAAAAACTTTTGGCTGCCTTTCAAATGGTGTCTCCCATTGCTCCATCGCTCCACCGGATGGCGATTCGCCGAGAACTAGACGACAGCGCTCCCGCTCCCGCTCCCGCTGGCGCTTCTGTTCTGCTCCTTCGAAAGCACATAAATTTTAATAATTTATCCCATATTATTCCACTTAAGTCGTTTAGATTTTCATAATAAATTAATAACGACAAGCGGCAGGCGGCTGGCGCAGCTCGACCTTGCGGCCGATTTCTGGGTCCATTTCTACGAGTAGTCTCCCCCTGTCACCCCCCAGTCGAAATGGGCATGGGAATGGTGCCATCGCCGTGGCATCAATTGCCAAAGTTCCAAAGGATCCAAGGCTCTAAGGATGCCATGGCAACAGAACAGAACAGAACCGAACCGACATGATGCTGATGATGAGCGACGGTACCATGTCGTAGGAAATCCGGTGGATTGGGGGCGACCACTGGGCGACCGGATGTGCGACTTGGGGCAGGGCATGGCATGGGAGGGCAGGGCTCTATGTGGCCTTATTTATACGCTTAATTTGCGCCACAATTTTATTTGCAAACAAATTGTTGGGAGATACCAAGCAACCAAAGGTCTTGCGGTGGTTCCGAGCGGTCGGGCGCTGAGATTTGCGGCTGCCACATTTCGTTTCGTTTATGAGACAAAGGCGGAAATTTATTGTGTTGCAAGCAGCGTAATGGGGCAGATTTATTGTCAGCCGCCCCCATGAGGCTCAAGACTCAAGTGGCAGGGCAGGGCGCTGCAACGCCTCGTTGATTAGCCGCGTGATTGCTGGAAAGGAAGGTGGAGAGCAATGTGGCCAATGCAAGGCGCTAATTTAACAGCTCATCAAAACCGAATATTCCCTTCATTCAGGAGTCCACTTATCCACACTACCCCTGCAGGTGCGCCCTCACATTACCCATATCCTGTAGGTACATCCCTCAAGTTGCTGTCGAATCGAGGGAAAACTAGGAAACACACACGGCAATCATGGAACGTTTTATTATAAAAGATGTGTTGTGGATGCCTGCTACTCATCCTCCCCTCCCCATCCTTCTCCCCAAAGGCCACTTGCATATTTACAACATTTATCAGAAGCTGGACACGGAACGAGTCGTCCCGTGCCCCTCTGCCACAGAGTTCAGACTCGAACGCAACGGTCAACCGACTGCTTGACATGCTGCTCCCGCTCCTGCTCCTGCTCCTGCTCCTGCCCCACACGAGGAGAGTGGAATTTTTCTACCGTGTTTTCCACTGAACGAACAGCAGGACGAACCGAACGATAAAGCCATCGAGGAGCTGTCATTATGGATTTGCTATGATGGAAGGCCGACGAACAAAAGTTGTTGATGCGTCCGTCCGTCTGTCCGTTTGGCTGGCTGGCACTGTCTGTGGTATGCCCAGAGTCTGTGGCATGTGTGTATAGTATACGAGTATCTATCAGTACCTACATCTGTGTGTGTGTGTATTCTGTCGAGCACTAAATATTGTGGCTTGTATGTGTCTTCCACTTTTCATTACGTGCTCTCGTCTCTCGTTTCTCATCTCTCGTTTCTCTATTAAATTTCAATGGCTCACAGTTCCATCATAGTATCTGTATCTTCAGTTCTCCATCTGCATGTGCATCTTTGCATGTGTGTGCGTGTGTGTTTCAAGTACCATTGAATTGATTGATGTTTGATGCACTCAACCACAACGATATGCAGCAAACCGCAACGCTACTTCTGCTGCTGCTGCTGCAACTGCTGCTGCTGTGGCTGCCTCCTGATCCCCTTACCCTTTCCCATGCCTCACGCATTTCCATGTCCTGTCACTGCGCATTTGTGTAGCATACTTTTTGGAGTGCCGCTGGCTGACAAGCAGAAGCCGAAGCCGAGGCTGAACCAAAAGCAAATGAATTTTCAAGTTGTTTGCGTAGTTTTCAAGAGATGAGCACCATTCCGAGCCGCGCATCCCCAGAGCATGAATTACGGCGCCTCAACCCTTTGGTTGGGTGGCCTGACGTCGACGGTCGGCGGTCGGGGGTTGGCGGCACTCCCAATGCAGTAATCTGACCGCACATAAATTCTCACCCGATTTCCTATACATATTCGCACTTAATACTTTATGTATATCCCACAGCAAGGGGATATCCCTCCCATCCCCATCCCACCCTTCCGCTTCGCTTCGCTCTGTTTCGTTTCGTTTCGAATAATAAATGTGCAAAAACGTTTTGATTTACACCACGACTACGCTTTTTTAATCATATTTAAATAAATTAAACATTTATTATAGAAATTCAGCCATAAATAAATTGAGTAAATACATAAAACCCAAGAGCCGACAACTGGAGCCGAGAACAGGTCCGACCGACCCTCTTTCCCCTTTCCCTTGTTTAGGGGCATAAGTTCTCTTGTTATGGAAATGCAATTACCCATCAGCGGGCGCTTAGCCACAGTTTCCATGAAAATTCAATTGAAAACAAATAAAATTCTGATTCATCCACAAGCGGAATGCTCTATCGGTATGGAGATCTTCCAACTGTCCAAGAACTCAGTAAGTATTCTAAGTAAATATTCATGATCGAAAATTCAAAGATATACCCATAATCCACCCTAAAAATATACGAAAATCGAGACAATAATGTAACAAAAAACAAGCGCAGCCTTTTCCGCGTCCAACCAAAAATCTCTCCTAATGCAACCCAAAAAAAATGTCAGAACTCCTCCCAATTTTTTAAATAACAAAAATATAATAAGAGTATTCCAAATAATTCATAAAATAATTTTATATATTTATTTTTTATTTGAAAATTGATTTCCCGTTGCAGTTGCAAATATTTAGTGTTTTTTTTTGTAGTAACATTTTTGTGGTGGACATTAAATTGATTTTCATGACTTGTTTACTCAAGGCTTAACCCTCGGAAGCCCCTGCCGCAGCGGCCATCATTTGCATAATTGCCACCCGAATAGCTGTTGAAATTAACCGCATTTATCAAATGGGAATCGAGAGGAGAGGTAGGGAAAAAGCTGGCTCAAGTGCCAAAACCCAACCCCAACCCAACCCCACACCAACCCCACCCACCATCTTGTTGCAACTTTTTGCCGCCTTTTGTCGGGGCGGTGCACAAAACTATTTTCGTATTTTGCACTTCCGCTATAAATTGTGGAGTTTATGGTGCGTATCACTTGGCCGAATGTTTTACATGCGACTCCGTGGCTTGCCCCATACATCCAACCGTACAACCCTACAACCAGATCAACGTGCAACAACACCCTGCCACATCCCACAGCCCACAGCCCACAGCCCACCTAGCAGCTAGTAGCTACCGCTAAGCAGTGCGTATGCTCCGCCGCGCCGGATGGGACAGCGCAAGAGTTATGCGTCTCCTGAACTGAAGCCGAAAAACTTTCCAGAGACTCCTCGGAGTTTAGCAGAAAGCTGAAAGAAAGCAAGTGGCAGGAAGCAGGGGCATGCGGCAGGGGCTCAAGAGACGTCTGCTCCGTGTTGGCGCATACTTCTGGCGGGGTATGGGGGGAGGGGTGTGGGTTTTGCTTGAAATATGAAAACCTCTCGAGGAGCAAAAGAAACTCCAGCGAGTGGCTTCGTGTTGGCATCCTTTAATGAGCTTTACGCAGCTGCTGCTTGCCACCAAATCCGCATCCTAGTTCTAGACCCAGCCACTGCCTCTGCGCGGAGGTGGCACGGGGCACGGGGCATGGGGCACATCCCCGAACGTAGTTTTGGACAAGTTTAAGCCACAGATGGCTTGGCGACGCGTCGCTGCAGTTGACTGCTTCTCAATTCTCGCTGCCGCATTGCGATTTGCGCTAATTCACGTGTTTCCGGTTGCTCAAGTTTGGAGGTTGCATGCCTCATGCCGCATGCCTTGCCTTCTGCGGCATCTTCGCGTTGTTAGAAGTCCATGCCCCCAAAACCCAGTGGCTGGTCAGCGCTGCAGATGCTGCGGCATTTGGTGCTGTAATTGTTGCAGCGGTCGCGGCTTAGCGTCCACTCGTCGCCTCTCCCTGATCTCTCCTCTGGTGCAGGGCAGGTGGAAAAGTTTTGTGTTTGTGGCACGGCTGTGATTTCAACGCAGTTGCAGTTGCACATTGCGTCTGCGATGAATTGCGGCAGAGTGGATTGCAGATGGAAAATGGAGCTGCGTCCACAGTTAATTGTTCCCAACATTTCAAACACAATTACGGGGAAACTTTGTGGATTTGCCACGGCTCTTTCTAGCCCCCTCTCTCTCCCACCTTTCTCTCCCTGCATCTCTGTGCCTTTGCAAAGGACATTTAACGAGCTGTCTCTGAATTTCGAGTAGCGTATCAATAGCTGTCCGAAGCCCCACAGTTCCGAAACTTTCTTCAACTTTTCCTCCCTCATCGAACATTCCATTCATCGCTATATTCGACATCATTTCCATCTGCAACTGCATCTGCAATCTCCCATTTACATGGCCCACATCATTAGTTATCCGAAGGTGCTTACAATTTTTCCAAATATGCCAGCCAGCAGACAGCAAACACCAGACAGGGGAACTGGGGAACAGGGGAACAGCAGCCAAGCCGCACACTCAAAGTGTTATTAGTTGTTGGCTATGCCCCAACGGAGGCGAGCAGCCTCTCCTGACAGCCAGAATGCATCGATTGGGGCGGTTGGGGGCAGCCCCATTCGAGAGGAGTGCAGCATTTGCATTCACAAACACTCGAATTATATAAAAAATGAATTGCCAATGCAGGAGCAGGAGCAGGAGGAGGAGGAGCCGCCATGGAACATGAAACATGCAGCCATGGAGCTCCATTCTGCATTCTCGATTTGATTTCATTTGCCTTCGATGCCTGTGTTTTGTGGTCTGTTGTGCGGCACCTGCTGCTGTTGCTGGATGGCCATCGACTTGAGTGGCCGCCCCACAAGCGCCTCGTCCATGGCGCCTGCCCCAAGTGTTGCATCCACTTTAAGGTTTGGCTTTAAGTCGGCTCCCGTCTGGAATTAGCAATCAACCCAAACTCTTCTGCTCTTATCATCAATTGCCAGCGATTCCGATTCCGATTCCGGATTCCATTCCGATGCCCCCCGTTTCCCCGCAAATTTCGATGGAGGAGAGGCTTCGGGTATATTGAAATTCCACTGGGGTACCACGTGGAGGCCATGCCCCACTGCTGCGGTTGCATTCGACAAAGGGATGCGTGTTGCATGGAAAACAAACTGAAAAAAAAAAACGGAAAACAAAAAGAAAACTAAACAAAATTAACGGCGTTTGCCGCTCCATCCGTTTCCTTGCCTTCCTCGCCTCTTCTCCACCTTTTTTCGCCGTGTTGTAGGGCCGTTTTTGGTCATTAGAAGTGACAGCGCCGCAAAGCCACGCACTGGACACAGGACGCAGGGCAGGAACAGGAACCCCTTCATCCGCAGGACACAACCGCCAGGACACAGGCCTCACACAGTGAATGGTCAGCGGCCTCTCCCCACAACCCCGTCGGTCATTTGTCGTTCCTCAGTTTTTGGCCGAAGTTCAATTTTCTGGTCATGCACATGGCAGCCGCTGTTGCCGTTGCCGTTGCCGCTGTTGCAGCTGCAGCTTCTGCCTCCCTGTCGAATTTTGTTCATTAGGCACGCGCACACACACGAGGATGCATGCCCCTTCAATGCATGCCCCATCCGTGGTACTCCAGCTGCATAGGCAGGAAGCAGGAGCCACGAGGCTGCTGCAGATCCACAATGTAATCAACGAAATCGCTCGAATCGCCAGAAATCGGCATTTGGGTCCTAGGAAGCGAAACAGTAACAACAGCAACAACAGCAGCAACAGCAACAACAACAGCAGCAACAATGGATAAACAACGGACGGAGACGGCAACGGCGACGGGGCGCACCCGGAACGAAAAAACAATCATGGATGCCTCGGATGCCGCTGCTGCTGCTGGTGCAACTGCAACTGCGGCCATTAACGGTAATTCCGGCAGCGCTTTTAATTGCGCATCCAAACAGAGGCAATAGCATGGAAAATGAGTTGTGGCACAGGATTTTGGAGTGCAGTGCCCCTAGCCCCAGTCCCCGTCCCGTCCCCGTCCCAACCGATAGAAACAGTTCGGCAAAATCTAAACAGAATTATGATTCCTCCCGGGGGGGAAAAGCGAGCAGAGCTGGATTTTCATACCAGCAGCTGGCAATCGATCGAAAACACTTAAATTCCAAGGAAATTTGAGTCAGATCTCCCCATATCTTCTCTCGCCGTGGCATGCCACATACCCTGCACCCTGAACCCTGAAGTTCATCAAATCAGACACTTTCCATAAACTGCACGACTAATTCGTGCAATTACGAATTGGTGGCCTGCCAAGGGAATAGAATACCGAAAACTGAAACAAAAGTCGCATAAAAGTAATGTGGAATAAGGGATGGGGTTGGGGCTGTGCCTGGAGCTGGTGCTGGGGCATGGAAGGGTGCATGCCTCGAATGTAATGAAAAACTCATAACCTGTGGCTTTTTGTCATGCGGTCACACGCACCAGACGGACAGACGGAGCAACGGAGAAAGGACACGACAGAAAGGACACGCAACCCCCTCAAGAAACGTTGAAAGTTGAAGTTTTGCCAAGCGGAGAGGAGAGGAGTCGTTACGTTGCTGCCTGCCACACGGAGAAGTTTTCCCTTTGCCTTCGGTTTCGGTTACAGTGTCTTTTCGGTTCGTCTCTGTCTCTGTGTTTCACATTTCATTGCCAACTTTGAGGTTTAGGCCACGAGTTCAGGCCAAATTGAAACCCAAAGCCTCACCCTCCATTCCTCCTCCTTTAGAGCCTGCCGATTCTCGCTTCCAATTTCCAAACATACTGAAAAAGAAGCAAAAACTTGTGTGCTGTGCTGTGCCGCGTTGACAACTAAATTCGATATCGATTTGATTTAGTTAAACGTTGAAATGTCTCTTCAATGGTCCGTCGATGGCTGTCGGGCTGTGTGGCTGTGTGTCTGTGTGGCTGTGGCATGCCCTTTGGGGCAATGAAATTCGCATGATTGTCGCCTTATGCTGTGAAAACAAACAAACAAACGAAGGCCCACGGGGCACACAGCAAATACCCGTAGAAGGACCCGCTCCGTGTCGTTTCGTCCGTCAGATAAGCGACTGCGATTGGAATTGGAGCAGGGATTCGACAGGACATTCGAGTGGGGGTGGGCGCATGTGGGAGCAGCAGGACTTGGGCGCGCGAAAATGACTCTAGGGGTGGCAGTACATAGAGCTCCTTTGATGGCCTGCCAGGATAACCGCAACTGTGGATAGCAGAAGGCGTGGCCGCAGAAGGAGTCTCCACTCCATCCCCATCCCATCCTGGCCACTCCAGGCATATATGCAAATTAGTGCAGCTCCTTCACGTGGCATCCACAGGCATTTCGTACGTAAGAGCGCCTCAAATGTGAATTTCAAATGTGGGCCATGTTTGGGTTCCTTTTTTTTCGACGAGGCTTCGAGGCAGCCGTAAGGATTAGGTTGCCACCGGAGGAAGCAGGAGCAGGAGCAGCACATATGGTATCCAGTGTTGCAGTTGCAAGTGGACT